TTTCGGGTGGGCAAGGGAGTTTTTGTTGAAGGTTCACTGCAATGTGTGTTTTAATTTTCTGCAGTGTGTTTTTTGTTTCTCTTAGTTTCTCTGCAGTGTGTTTTAATTTTTAAGGTTGGCAGTGTTTTTTTGATCAACGTAATGAATTTTTGGCTTTCTTGAACGCGCTTATGGGTGTCCTCAACAAAGCAACGAGTATGTGGTAGTTAAGTATTATGATTTTGTGAGAGTGACCTTACCTATATTAAAATTGTGAATAGTACCTGTTGAAATAATGGAATAATAATATTGCTCCTTGAATTATGAAATACATGATAGAGTATATATAGAGAAGAGACTCCTAGCACAACTAGAAATAGAGAATGGAAACCAACTAACATACAACATCTAACATAAACAGGAATAGGAAACTGACTAAAATACAAATACTACTATAACTAAGACTACCATAATTGTTATTGTTATTACTGTCTAACATCCCCCCTCAAGCTGAACTATGGCTGAAGCAAGAGGAAGCTTGGACACTAGCTGGAAACTAGAAACTTTGAGAAGAGAGAAGACTGACGTGCACTAGTAGCTGCTAACGTCGTTGGAGAAGAGAGAAATTGACGTGCGCTAGTAGCTGCTGACGTCGATGAAGAAGAGAGAAGGTTGACGCGCGCTTGTAGCTTCTGACGTCGAAGAAGAATAGAGAAGGCTACAGGAGGTGCCTGTTTGACTGAAGATCCTTGACATTTTTTTTCTTTTTCTTGGATCCGGGCAATGCCCTATTTCCTTCTTGAAGGGGTGAGTTTTAGAGGTCTTATTTTCTCTTTCACTACTTCCCCTCTTGGCTTTGCTTTTGTGATGATTTACTTTGGATTTTTATTGGTTCAATAGAAGAGAAAGAGAAGGGAGGTTGATGATTAGAATGAGTGATTTTAGAGAGAAAAAAATAGGTTAAGAATTGGTGATGGAAAAAAAAATTGGGTCTGAGATTTTGATATGATGAATTGGAGAGAAACAACAATCATTTTTTTTTTCTTTTTTTTTGAGAAGATAGGATGATCTGAGAGATTTTGTGAGGAGTTGGGATTTTTTTTTGAAGAACCATGAAGATGACAAGAGAGAAGTTCCTCCATTGATAGTTTTTGTGTGTGATTTCAACAGAGTTTTTTTCTTTTTTTTTCATTTGAATGAAGAAGTTGATTTGAGGATAAAGAAGAAAAAGAAAATAGAGGTGAATAGGGTGGAGCCGCCGTCGCCGGAATTACCGGCGGCGGCGGTGGGAGCAAAGAATTTTTTTTTTAGGTCACCAAGAGCGGTGGCTCTGATACCATGTGGAAATAATGGAATAATAATATTGCTCCTTGAATTATGAAATACATGATAGAGTATATATAGAGAAGAGACTCCTAGCACAACTAGGAATAGAGAATGGAAACCAACTAACATACAACATCTAACATAAACAGGAATAGGAAACTGACTAAAATACAAATACTACTATAACTAAGACTACCATAATTGTTATTGTTATTACTGTCTAACAGTACCCAATGTTTACTGACTTTGAAATATGTATACAAATGCAGGTGTAATTGTGGTATGTTTGTAGTGAAATTCGCGGAGTTTCTAATGATGGATTTAAGCATTGATGAAGTGCAGTCATGTGACATGGAAGCTTACTGGGTTAAAATGACAACAGAACTTTTAGCTTATAGCTATGAAAGAAAGGAAGAATCCAGAAAGCAATAGATTTTTTTTTGTTACCTTGGATAATTTAATGTTCGTATGACAGCTGTTTGGTGTTTGTTTGTTTAAGATTTTTTGTTATTCATGATAGTTTTTATTTGTTTTAGTAATAATTTATGGGCGTTTAATTAATAAGTGATTTGAGAAGTGGATTAGTGGATAGCTTTTTTTGGTCACCCTGCCAAATATTATACAAGATCATGACCATTCCACACTTCCAAAATTGTTTAGGCTTACACTGCACACTTTGTTTGATAAAGTTATATAAGGACTAGTGATTTTGGTGCCCGTTTTATATCCACTATTTATATAACTCAATAAATAATTTTTGATAGTGAGATTTTTATATATAAATCACATTTGACGAAAACACACTAACCAAACGTGGTGGTAGGACACTGCCGAAAATTGTTGATAGAAGTTGGCAGACCCCAATTCGGTTTAGGATGTGAAATTTAAATCCTTAAGTTCAATATACACTGTAATGTATACACACTCTTCGCTGCCATATTATAAATAAGTATGAAATTCTATCCTCTTCACTGCCACAATATGTTTGAGATTGAATTTAGTGCCCTAACACATAAACCTCTACAAAAAAAGAGTAGAATTCATTTTAAGCCGTGAGATTTAATTTTTAAGGTAATTATACACTGCAATATGCAATCTCTACAATGCCAGGATATGTACTTCTAAAAATTCAATGTGTAAAATACACTGACACAATATATACACTGGCACAAAATATACACAATGCCAAGAACTCACTGTCTAAATACACTTCCAGAATATATACACTACCACAATATATACACTGCCAAAAATACACAGTCGTAATACACTTCCACATTTCACAAGGAATTTAATAAGAATTAAAAGAATGCAACTTATACCTTATTCACTTTTTGCAATTCAATGGTGCATGTAGACAAAGTATTATAAATTAATTAAAAAATCAAGTTATAGTATAAGAAGAACAACTATTAAAAGAATGAAAAAACCAAATAATGTGTCTGAACAACGTCAAAAATGGATGAAGGAAACAATTGAGAATTGTATATTATATGGAACACGAAAGAATGCAGTGTCAGTTTGTATTGGGTTTTTGCATGTTTTTAAGTTATGCCCCAAATTCAAACACTGTGTGCATCTTTGCTTTCTACGCCTCTGGCCTATTTGAAATTCACCAACTGATGGAAGTCTCCTCTTCTTTGGTCTACCCGGGGGACGCTTATTCCAAGATGGAGGACGCTTATTACAAGATGGGTGGACTGTGGAATCCATAACAAGCTCAACGCATAGTGGCAGGTATGAGGTGTCATTTTGGAACGACTTCAGTTTCAGATAGAATAGTAATTCAGAATCATCGGAAACAACAATAGGTGGGGGGGGAGGAAGCAACAATATAAGAAAGACGAACAGTATTCTGAGACCAATCAATAAGTATGACAGATTTGAGTAAATCTAAGAAAGATTGGAATGAAGTTCCAACTGGGACCTCAATCACTGCGTTATACTTTGAAGTAAAGCTTCCATGAGTATCCCATGTCCCATCAACACGTAGCAATATCATCAAATTTGAACCCATCTGTGATGCTCCTTTTGAAAAATAAAATAGAAAACATTCTTCAATGGAGCAGCTTTGTTTTTAATACAATTATGCTAACTACTTAAACATAATTAAGACATTCTCTACAATCTACATTTTCAAATAAATAAAACTAAAAATGCAAGACAAAATTTTAATATTTAATCTTCACACTGCCCACACCATAACACCTAAACTTCACACTGCCAAAATCACAATGTCTTTCAAAAGACCTAATTTTTCAAAAGGGACAAATACTTGGTATTTCAAAATTAATTTCACAGCACCTAATCTTCAATATGAAGAAAACACAATAATTAAAACTAAAAATATAGGGAAATTCGAATAAAAGGATGCAAGACAAAATTTTAACATTTAATCTTCACACTGCCCACACCATAACACCTAATCTTCACCTTGCCAAAATCATAATGCCTTTCAAAATACCTAATTTTTCAAAAAGGGACAAATACTAGGTATTTCAAATTTGATTTCACAGCCCCTAATTTTCAATACGAAGAAAAACACAATAATTCAAACTAAAAATACATGGAAATCCGGATAAAAAGGATGAAGGAATGAAATTTAAAAATTGAAGGATAAGAGAAAATGATTAGGGACATCGAGGATTAGCACGGGAGAGAACCTGATGACTGCTGCTGCTGATCGGCCAAGGAATCCTGGGCGAAGGAGTGAGGAGGCATAATCGGCCGGCGAAGGGAAGGAGATATCGCGGATGAAGTTCAATTACGTGCAAGCTATAGGTGCCGTAATTTTTAATGAAAAAACAGAAAAAGGGGTAAAGGGTATGATAGGAAAGGGTTAACACCATAAATTGCTAAATTTGTTAAAAACAATGAGTAGTGCTAAATGCGTATTTTAGGGTGAGTTAGAGTGCTATATAGGGTGATTTCTTTATTATATATTATAATTATGGTTGTTACCTATTATAGTTAGAGTTATTATTATACTCCGTATAATACTTCCTCCGTCCCAAAAAGATTTACACCTTTCAAAACAATTGCGTTCCACAATCTCCTACCCATTTCTATTAAAAAACTACTTTTACCCCTTACTTTTTCAAACCATACCTATCACATCATACCTTTTTTCCTAATAATCTACACATTACATCCTACTTTTACACATCACATCAAGGGTATTTTTGGAAAGTCAACACAAAATTATTCCTCCCTTAATTTTAACTTTAATCAAAATGTGTAAATCTTTTTGGGACGAAAGTAGTATCACCTTATACTCCGTATAAATTAGTCATTAAAGTGCGTAGAGGATTTTAGAATATATTTCTCCGATCCACCTATAAATACATACTTTGTCTTTCTCTCTTATTTCATTCAATCAATAAAGCACTATATTCTTTATTATTTGTACACAATATACATGCCATTCTGTAACTATGTAGACTATAACAGAAACTTGCTTCCTTGAGACGGGAAGAAATTAGGGTTAAATGTTTTTATTTAACCGGGTGAAGTTTAAAGTGTAAATTTGACTAAACCTGCAGGTTAAATGTACGTTCTTGGTCCATATTAACTTTCACTGTTGTTTCACCTTTAGTAATTTTCACGTAAGGTGTTGTGTAGAACGAAACAGTATTCCGTAATGGATTTATTTCTACCGTGATTGATTGATGCGTACCTAGTTAATTTGGGCCTCACTATAAATAAATAAATAAGGTTTATTTTAAAGCGCTTAAGTTAATTACCATACACCAAATTAAACACCATGAAGTCCCCTCATGGCCATCATCAACCTCTCTTTCATGTACGTATATGTGTAGTCCATATTTCTTAATTATATTTTTCTCTCAATCTATCTGACAATTCATGTTATTGATTATGAGGGTGTTTGTGAGTGCGGTGAGTCTTGAAAAAGCACATGTGCTAAAATCAGAAGTAGAAAGCAGTTACTCTGAGCTTTGGTGAAAATCACTTCTAGAGCACAATTTATACTTCTGGAATCACAATTCATAATCTAAAGCTAACTGGAAAACACTTAAAATTGTATTTCAATGAAGTAGAAGCTCAAAAGCTATTTTGAAACATACTCCCAAATACTCTCTATATTCTTTTGGTAGACTAGCCTATGGTAATTAATGTGGGTGTGGTTTAACTTTAACTTGTTTTGGTTTTAATGGGTTATAATTATTTACCAGGTGTGGGCATTATTGCTCTTATGTACTTCATCATCAAGAATAGGGGAATGCACAAAGGGCGGCGGGCATAATAACAATGAGAAAAGAACGCCACCAGCGGGAGTAGTGGAATACTCATCAGCAATAAGTTGCCGGAAACACACGGCGTACTTGACGGATTTCGGGGGCGTAGGTGACGGAAAGACCCTAAATACGGGGGCATTCCATAGAGCCGTAGCTAACCTAAGCAGGGTTGCTCCGGACCATGGTGCCATGCTTATCGTGCCCGCCGGGAAGTGGCTCACTGCGCCGTTCTATTTGACAAGTCATTTCACCCTTTACCTCCACAAAGACGCCGTCATTCTTGGCACTCAGGTTAGCTTCTCAATCTTGCTTCCATCTTGCCATGCCTCATTAAAAAAAGTGAAATTTGCACTAAGTCATTTCTCAATGTAGGACTTAAACTTTTTTATTCTCTAAATAAGACTTAATAATGACTAGTGAAAAGAATAATGTCCAAGTGATGCTGGACATTTAGTTGAATAATGACTAATAGATAATGACCAATGGTCCTACATAGGAAAATAAAAACATATGGTCCTATATTGAGAAAGTCATTATATTTTAGTCCTATTTAGGTAAATTACTCTTAAAAAAACTTATATCACTTCAATTTAAAAAACTCCTTTCGATCCTAAAAATCTTTCTTATTTTAATTTTTTTTGTCAAATATTAATACACTTTAACCTCTAATTGTAAGAAACTTTTTAATTATAATATAAATTCAATGTAATTAGGCCAACAATCTCCCTCTCAACAATTGCTCCCGCTGGAAATCAAACTTGAGACCTTGGCCCAAACAATACCACTTGTAGGACCTCAGACATTACCAACTCCTCTAAAATTAAGAAGTGCGTACTCTAGCCTTATAGTAGTCCAGCACAGACAAGCACCCACAACATTTGATTGTGATTTTGCCCACATATAGCCTTCGCCACGGGACAATTGGTGCACACATGGCCAACACATAGAATTTATTTTAAGAAACTGTCCTAAATAGAAGGAAAACATAGAAAAAGTACCAAAATAGGAGTTCAATGTTTTATTCACTACATAAGAGTTCGCACTGTCGTAATGTGACACTGTATATGAGTATTTTTGGTGATGTACATAATCATGATTGGTAATGCAAATGCATTTTGACTCCTATTTCAGGATGAAAATCATGGAATTCCTATTTTGATATATTTTTAATATTTAACTCCTACTTTAGTCTTTTTTCCAATTTATTTTGCCATAAGCTTCCTGATCTACCCCTGCGCTAGTCTATCCGTTTTTGTGATATAGTTTACTTCTCATTAATTACTCCTAGAGTTATGAAAATAAATTTATACACATTACTAAAATTGTTGAAATAAATTTATGAATTTATATTCATTATTATGTGTCTCGCCTTTTTAACAGATTCGATCCCTTAAGTGTGCATTGTCACTATTTTTCTTCATTTGTTTTTTTGTGAAATTAATTTTCAATTTAATTTAAATAAAAACTAATGTAAAAACTATAAAATCATATACTCCATCCTTCCCGAATTAGATTACAATTTCTCATTTACTATGTAAAACTTCATATTTTTTAAAATTAATTTATTTAAAATTTGGTATATGTAAGAATAATTAATGACCATTGATTTTAATGACTGTACTTACTAATATGATCATTAGTAGAACTATGTTCATTGATTATGACTTACAATTTCAATGACTGTACAAATATGGTAATTGAAATGTATATTTTGAAAATGACTTGCAAATGGGTTTTTGAGAGAGTGGAAGATATAATGACTTGGAGCGTTTACAGTTTGGATAACTCTTGTTAAATATAGAATAAAAGCTTTCTGTAAAATCGACTAGCTACAAAATTTGCTGGGATTTTGTATTCTTTACGGTTTTGGGTTTCCCATAATGGCAGTGCCTTTTTTTTTTTAATTTTTTCGTTTTTCTAGCCGTAGATAGACAGGGGCCTTTTGTACTTTCACACGGCAAACGCTTAAGTTAATAAGACTGGTCCTATTAGTGGAAATCAGTCTTGCTTAGGTCAAATTTGTGTAAATTTCTCTAAAACAAACCATCAAAGAATAGCAATGCTAGGTTCACAAATAAAATGGTCACAAACGTCACAAACTTACCATTTATAATTTAAATTTTCATTTTAAAATTATTTTAGACTAGCTACTTAATATTTTTTCATTGAAGTTCACAAATTATAAATTTGTAAAGTTTATGACAATTTTCTTTGTGAACCAAACATTTCTCATCAAAGCATAAGCACATGACGATATAATGGTAGAGAGAGAACATACATCATCAGTTTGCATGTGGATTTTATTTTAATTTTAACGTGCGTGGTTAAATTATTCGTTAGGAAATATAAAAGCGGGAATAAAGCTAGGGATACACCAAAATGGGGTACCCTATTTGTACACAAGAGTAACGCAGACAACACAGACATTATATGTCTACAGACACATAATGTCTGTGTTACTCTGGTATATAAATGATATACACAATTTTGGTGTACCCTTAGTATGCCCCTAATAGAAGATCGAACTGGAGTGAGCAGTGACATGACTCATGAGTATTAACTCTCTTTTTTTCACTTGGTTTGTTACATAGGATGAATCACAATATCCACTCATTTCACCATTGCCATCTTACGGAAGGGGTAGAGATGCTCCGGGAGATAGGTTTACGAGTCTCATCTTTGGAACAAATCTCACTGACGTTGTCATCACTGGTAATTAATTTAATTTGTATATTTATATAGTAGGACCATTATATTATTTGCCTTTTTTAGTAATTTCTTTTAAAATGAACTCCACTAGAGTGTGAACTTTATACTCTATTTATCTTGAGATTAATTTTTCATGTGAAAATGATATTGCCTAATTTAACTTTGTGAAAAAGAAAGAAAAAGAAGAGACAGTATGTATAAACCATTTATTTACATTCTTAATAGAGAGTAACGTAACGTACTATAAAGTCATATGCTGATATTGAGATGAGAGCCAAAGGGATTACTCCACTATTTCAATAAACTACTACTCCTTCCGTCCCACAAAACATTTCTTGTTTTGATTTTTAAGGGATTTAAGAGAAGTGTATTTTAGTATTTAGTTTCCAAAAATTCATTTGGTTGTGATAGATAAAAGTAGATATGATAGGTAGATTAATAGTGAAAAAGTGTGATGTGATAGGTAGGTTAAAATTACTAGGGATAAAAGTGACTTTTTAATAGAAATGAGAAAAGTTTTTTGGGACGAATGAAAAAAGAAAGGACAAAGATTTTGTGGGAGGCAGAGATTATGTTCTATTATATTTGTCAAGTTTGACTTTTTTTAATATTAAACAGAAATAAAATAAAAAGTGTACTATACATTAGTATAAAAATAATTTTATTAGATTTATTTTGTTGAAAATTTTTAAAATTTTATTTCATTATATGAATATGCAATATGAATTAATAGTAATTGATGATTAAAATTTGTTCAGTTTTATTAACCATTAATTACGAGTATTACAACATGAGTTTGTTTAATAATAGAAATAAGAGGGAGTAATAATAATAAAACTGTTATAGAGAGATTTGATTGAACTAACTACTAATGATGCTATGCATTGTGCATAAAATACTCCCTCCGTCCCATAAAACTCTTCTCTTTTTAAAAAAAGCGCATCCTTAAAATGAATAATTTTGATGATATTTTCTAAATATGATTCATCTATCCTGCACAAAGCATGCTACTCTATTATAAAGTAAGAGAAAAAATAAAAAATATCATCAAAATTATTTATTTTAAGGATGCACCTTTTTTAAAAAGAGAAAAGTTTTATGGGACGGAGGGAGTATATATTAACGTCTGGACGATGGACGATGGTGTGGGAATGTATGTATGTATGTATGTGAAAGGTGGGAATGGGACAATAAACGGGCAGGGAGAGGTTTGGTGGGACAAGTATCGAAACAAGGAGCTGAAGAACACAAGGCCTTACCTTATCGAGATTATGTATTCCAACCAAATCCAAATCTCTAACCTCACCCTCCTCAACTCCCCATCATGGGTCGTCCATCCTGTTTACAGCAGGTCAATTTCATTTCTTCATTCCTATTATGCATCCTATCATAGATATATTCTTATATATATATATACTCCGTATTTATTTTGTTAAATTTATTTACTTTTCCCCATCATCATCGTTATATGTAATCAATTCTCGAGAAATTTACATGTATAATACTAAAGTATAGTGAGTTTCTCAATGTAGTACCAGAAATTTTAATTTTCAACGTAGTACTGTACCACTGTTCAATGTCCACTGGACATTTTATATGTAAATGTCCACTGTCACTGGACATTATATTATTCAATTAAATATCCACCATCATTAGACATTATTTCCGTCACTAGACATTTTTCAAGTACTATTTAGAAAAATAAAAAGTTTTGGGAAAACTCAATCATTAGATAAGAGTAAAAACTTTAAAAATATCAAAATAAGAGTCCTATGGCTTTTAAGACCAAAATAGGAGTAAACAGTGCATTTATTACACTGCCAAACTCACCACATTGTCACATTGTAATTGTCACATTATCATAGCCACACTGCCATCGTTACCGCCAGCCACCAAAGTGTCACTGCAGATCGCTGACGGTTGACTGATCACATTGACATATTACACCGTCATCATATAGTTCATAAACTTTACAAACTTGCCTTTTGTGGATTTTAAATTAAAATATCTTTTATTATTTGAGTGCATCTTATTTCTAGGAAAGTGTTAAAAATGCAAGTTTGTGAATTTTGTGAACTATTTGTTTGTGACTCTAGCATTAGTCTTTGGTCTTAGAAAACATATGCCTCCTATTTTGGTACTTTTATACTTTTTTACTTCTATTTAGGGAGATTTCTTAAAATTTTTAGATACTATGTTGAGAAAAAAGACATACTCCATCTGTTTCTTAAAAACATTTTGTTTTGACTTGAGAGAGATTTATTTTCTAAGTAAAACCTTCTAATTATATCCTTATCATCAAAGAAAAAGTGAGACAAATCATTTAAATGACTTATTATATCAATGCAAATTAAATGATGCATGTTGCAACGACTTAATTTAGATATACGAGTCATGTTTTACAAAAATGCATGGAAGTGCTTTAAGAAAACACAAAAAAATTGAATGAAGAACTGTTTTAAAGAACGGAAGTAGTAATATATTGTAGTAATATTTAGTGCAAATTTCACTTAATTATTTCTATAGTACTTATATTTTTGTGGTGTTACAGTGACATTATAATTGAGCACTTGACAATTCTTGCACCCATTGATTCCGAAAACACTGATGGGATCGACCCAGGTGCGACAATTCCTTCCTAATTTGATGAATTCAATAACAATCACTCTTACATACTACCTCCGTTCCAAAAAGATTTACACGTTTTGACTAAAGTGGAAATTAAGAGAGGGATAATTTTGTGTTGACTTTCCAAAAATACCCTTGATGTGATGGTTAAAAGTAGGATGTGATGTGTAGATTATTAGGAAAAAAGTATGATGTGATAGGTAGGGTTTAAAAAAGTAAGGGGTAAAAGTGGTTTTTTAATAGAAATGAGTAGGAGATTGTTGGACGCAATTTTTTTGAAAGGTGTAAATCTTTTTGGGACTGAGGGAGTATATACTTAATTAATTGATCACTCATTCACTCTGTATATATAGTAATTAACTTGGGCATGCATGCATGCAGATTCATGCGCAAATGTAAGAATATGGGACAACTACATTGTGTCCGGGGACGACTGCATCGCAATCAAGAGCGGTTGGGACGAGTACGGGATCGCATTCAACATGCCAACCAAGCAAGTGTCCATCAAGAGGCTCACTTGCGTCTCCCCCTTCAGCGCCACCATTGCTCTCGGGAGCGAGATGTCGGGCGGGATCGAAGACGTCCGGGCCGACGACATCACCGCCGTCAACACCGAGTCGGCCGTGCGGATCAAAACGTCCCCCGGACGCGGCGGCCACGTCAGGGACATGTACCTCGCCAACGCCCGTTTCCGCACCATGAAGTACGTCTTCTGGGTGACCGCGGAGTACGGCGATCACCCAGACAACCGTTTCAACCCGAACGCCGTGCCGACCGTACAGGGCATAAACTTCAGAGACGTCACCGCCGAGAACGTGACGGTCGCCGGAAAGCTTGTGGGGCTGAAGGGCCGCCCCTTCACCGGACTCTGCATCTCCAATGCCACCATTGCCATGCATGTGGACGAATCCGCCGCAAAGACACCCAAACAGGCATGGAACTGTACGGACGTCCAAGGTTTCCAGGGCGCGGTGACTCCTAAGCCGTGTAATCAACTGGTTGAAAAGCCCCATCTGGAGTGCAAATTCCCCCGAGACAAACTTCCAGTCGAGAATGTTCAACTCAAGACATGTTCTCTCCCACTCCATTAAATTAAATTAATGGGCACTATAACTGTTATATATACGAGATCAATAAATGTATGCATCATCAACTATCCGCTTTTCATGCATATTTTGTAATCAAATAGGTACACTCTGTATCAAATACGGAGTACTCTACTACGTTATCATTGTAAAACCTCTATATACAGTATAAATTATGGAGTAATACTCTATAAATTAATACTCCCTCCCTCTCTTAAACTCCTTCCCCTTTCTTTTTTTTTGTCCCACTAACTCCTTCCCTTATCTTTTAAAAAACCACTTTTACCCCTTACTTTTTCATACCCTACGTATCACATCATACTTTTTTACTAATAATCTATTCATCACATCTTACTTTTACCCATCACAACGAGGGTATTTTTGGAAAGTTAACACCAAAATATCCCTCCCTTAATTTTCCAAAAAGTCAATAGGGGAATGACTTTAAGGGACTGAGGGAGTAATAAAATATTCCCGTCTCGACTTAAGCTTTTGTAAAAAACAAATAGTTTTCTACACTATTTATTCTTGAACTTTTTAAAAATAGTACAAATTCTTTCTAAACTTTAATTTTAAAAATGTTGCACCCCTCTACACGAGATTTAAGGTGCATTAATCACACGCTCATCCAATACAAATATGGATTCATCAAAAGTCATATATAACACGTAAGTTCTCGATTAGCCTTTCCCAAACATTATCTTCTACTCCTTCCGTTCACCAAAACACTTTCTCTTTCATTTTTTTCTTTTCCACCAAAATACTTCCACTTTCTATTAAAAAAACAACTTTTATTCCTACTTTTTTGCCCTACCTATCACATCATACTTTTTCACTAATAATCTATTCATGACATCTTACATTTACCTATCACATCATAGGTGAAATTCGAAAGTTAACTACAACTTAACTATTCCTTATTTCGGACTTTGGTCAAATTACGAAGTGTTTTCCCAAACAGAGGGAGTATATTTTCAATAGTGCTGGCAAATCGGTGTCGGGTTCGGCTTCGGTCAATTCAGGTTTGGACTACTTCGGATTCAGGTCAATTCGTCCTCGGGTTGAAAACTGTATATTCATGACCCAGTGTCATTGAGTTCAAGTCGACCCAACAGGTTATGACTTTAGTTTTTTAAATTTTTAAACTCATGTTATTAAAACTTGCATTTTACATTAAATAAAATTAAAATATCAAAAAATATGTGTTAAATCTATAATACTAGGTAGGTAAGAGTGAAGACCCCTAAGGCCTGTCCGATGTCTTTGCCGAAGAAGTCCTCACAAAGGAAAAAAAGTCCATAATTTGAAATCAATTAGTAAAAAAGAGTGTAATGAGAGTAAAATATGGAGAAAATATTAAAATAAAGATTTTATGTTTTTATCCTAAGAGATGTTTTTCCATAGTCCTAAGATCTACATGTGATATCAATGCACTAAAGTGATTAAAATGAGAATGTAAGTTAGGACCACTTAAGAATTTGCCTCTAATACCCCCTTAGAAGATAAGAAAATCGATTATAATGTATGATGTGTATTTTATAATACTCTCTCCGTCTCGTATTAATATTTCAGAATTGACTAGATATAAGATTAAAAAAGTGAAATTTTATGATTAAAAATGATGCAGATGAGACAGAAAAGATATAAGCCACAAAAAATTTGCCTAATATAATTTTAGAACGTATAAAAAAGACATTATAGAACATTATTACGAATAGAAAGAGTATATAATATGAAGTACAAGACAAACAAGGTAACTAGTTATGCAAGATATATAAGTGCTATATACAATGTAAAAATCTATACAAAAAAAGTGAGATATTAAAAGAATATAATATTCTCCTTGAACAAGGAAATTACTATATATACAATTATATTAAATTTAATTAATATCTTTAACATATTTGTGGTTATGCTTGCCTGCTTGGTTCTCAAATTCACTAACCCACTGTTAACCATTTATTATCACCCCTCATCAAGCGCGGAATCCACATTCGGAAAATATAATACGAGCAAAAAAAAATAGAAGTACAAAGCTCTTCAAAGTATAACACAGTGAACCATTTGGTTCAAAAAATTAGAAGTTAGGGCTCAGATTGCAGTTTCTCTCCACTGCACTGCTTGTAATTCCAAAACGACAGTAATGGGTAATATCTATCGTATTTTTTAAATTAAAAAAAAGGTTTGGCACCATATCTAATATTAGCTTTCTGGAACAAAATGTGAAACAAAAACCTGCATCTTGTTCCTCTCTGGTTAGAAAGAGAACGCCCAATATACATGCCATTCTGTAACTTTGTAGACCATAACAAAAACTTGCTTCCTTGAGTGGGGAAATGGGGCAGAATTCAACCTTCAGGTCTAGGATAGATGTACGAAGTTGCATGCAACAATGATGATGATGATGATTATGATATTATTATTAACTTTAAAAATATGGAATAGTAGGTATATAAAAAGAAACAGAAATAAGATGGTCTTTACATTTGAAACATGAATTGAATCCACACCTGAAAGACTGAATCGTCTCAGATTACTGCTGGATCTTTGCTTTGCTCTTAAGCTCTGCCAGATCTTTTGCTTGACTCTTTGAACAAGAAAAAGGGAAACAACATAGAACATTTTCAATCACTACAGAAGAAGCACCAAAAGTTTCAATGCGAAACAAGTCGGGAAAGGGGAGCAAAGACATTAGTTCAATGATTACCTCAGATAATGCCTCCCACCATCGGTTTGATCGCTCTTGTAGCACAAACCATTCCAACGCCATCTCATACTCAATGGTATTGTCTTGGGAATAGTGGGATGTTGATACTGCCGACCGCTTTTCAATGTTGAGACAGTAACACATTGTTTGGAAAACGGGAAAAAATTATTTTAGTTGTGATACGTCAACAACTGTGTGCTACTGTAGGTGCTACACTACTAATTTGATCTGCTATATTCCCAACCCATTTAGTATGGATGAAACTTGTTTTGAAGGCAAAAAATTATGAAAAATGATACCAATCCAGTGTCGCAAAACCAGGTGTATATTACAGTTCACAATTTTTTCCTAATCTCCCACTTTTGGTTTCCCCAACCTTGCAGACTTTTGGAGTTCATGACTAGGGCTAGACAAACAAGGACAACGATCAGAATTGTAGCGCTTCATCATCATTCCCTTAATTTCAACTAAGTTGGAATCGATGACATGATAAGTAATGTAAATTATTTGTGTAAAATTAGTTAACACTATATATATTCATTAAAAAATGAGTTTTATGCAAGGTACTAGACCTAGAAAAAATCGACCCGGCCTTTTTTTACCCGTAACCTAACTCGAAAATACTGCGGAGTAGGTCTTCAACAAGATTCTTGAGACTTGCCATCTAGTTTGACTTAAAAAATCAAACTAGACAAATAATCAAGAACAAAGGGAGTATCTTCAAAAGTAGTACTTTATGTATATTATTTTAGTCTTATTCTAAAAACCTAAAATTACAAAAGAAAATATTATAAAAGCTTTAATTATTAAGTTTTAATATTTCATCAAACTTTTAATGTAAAACTAAAGAGCTATCACACATTTTATTATTTGAAAAATAAACCAAATAAAACTCTTAACCTATTGGATCAACCCGAACACGCTTGGTTAAAAAGAAGTATTTCTCAATTTGAAGTCTTAATCTAAAGCAGCCAGAACCTGAAAGTATAGAACTTAAACCCGAACAATTTTCTAGCTTTAAATGCAATATAAGAGAGTAATGAAGTTAGGCAATAAGTATAATTATAGTCTGTGTCACATTACAAGATCAATTGATATTCTAAAACCAACATACACCTAATCCCGACATGAACAAACCGGAACTATGGCTATTAAAAAACTACTACGGGCTCTGCCCCATAATGTTTTTCATACTTTAGGGGTCAACTTTGTTAAACTTTGACCAAGATTTGCATAAAAAGTAAATTGAATTATTATGTAAAATTAATCACTGGATTTATTTGTAAATGTAGTATTGAAATATCATACAAATACAGAGTATTATATATATATATAGACACACACACATACATACGTACATATATATATATATATATATATACATATATATATATATATATATAAATGTATACATACATACATACATACATACATACATATATATATATATATATATATATATATATATATATATATAAACACACACACACACACTCACACACACACACACACACACATATATATATATATAATGCTCGGTACTTGTATGATATTTCAAAACTACATTTTAAAATAAACCTAGTGATTAATTTTACATAATAGTTCAATTTATGTACACACACATGCATAATCTATACAATAACAGTTAAAACATTGCATTGGTGAGCAAAACTATGGGACGAAGAGTATTGCAAAATGCTCATCGTTCCTACTCGCTCACCATGGATAGAGAACCATATGTATAATGGCATGTTCTCTCTGTTAATTGTTAATTGTTAATTCAATAAAATTTGGGGAAAGGTAGAAGCTTTGAATTATCCATATTGCCTAGTGAAAAAATATTGCCTAGGTAGAAGGTTTTGAATTTGGGCTCATTTCTTTGTCAACATTACGAGGGTGCTTGGTAGGAAGGTTTGGGGAATAAAGAACTTGAATGGAATGATTTTTCTCGGTAAGCTCTCCACTAAGTTCAGTTTCCCACTTTTGGAGTTTTGGGCATTGAGCCATACCCCTCCAATAGGATAGGGGTGAACAACACATTCCCTCTTTCTTTCAATCATATCCAAGTTCCCATTCCCAACCATTTACCATACCTACTATCGGTATAAGAGTAATGGTAAAAAAAACACATGATCAAATTCATATACTCACACGCTAGCATTAAGAAATAAGATCATAACTACAATCAGATCAGACTAGGTCAAACTAGATTTGAATATAACTATAATCAGATCAGACTAGGTCAAACTAGATTAGATCATATCATATGAGAACTTACTCTAATCAGATCAGGTGAAGAGAACAAGCCCTATATGTCTAATGCCTAACAGAGTGACATAACTACAGGAAAATGTTATTGCACTTTGAATATACAAGACAATAAAATCGTAAACAACTTAGCATGATACGCATATATAACATAGACTCCAAAAAAAATGCATACCATCTCTATTCGTTGCTTTGGAGGCTTCATTCGCTCAATTGTAAGGTGGCCAAAAAAGAGACTTTGATTTCTGGGATCTTTAAGAGCTTTTGTTCGAGCAATTAATGGCCTATGCAAATCAAACAAAAAATTATGTTTAGGTCTTCCTATCCTTTGTCTTTCTTTAGAAATTAAATTGAATTCAACTCTTATATTATTAAAGAAATTAGAAACAAACGAATGTCAATGATAGAATTTAAGATATGGTATGGGTCACTAGACAAGGTGATAAGATGATAAGATACTTAGGCAAAACCATATCAAAAGATTGAATCTAACCGATTACCTAGTTTAACTCAAGAGCTTAGAAACCCATTATTTTCTCTTTAAAGTTTCGATGTGGGTGTCTAACTCCCCCTTAAGTGGATAATCGAACCATTTTGAATTTAATCGTTTGATGACTTGCAATTAGACGTATATCCCTCTGAAAAAATATTTGAAAATGCAATGACAACACCTAAAGGACAACGAGCTACTTGGTATGGACTTCTAGGACAAAAATCAGGTTTAAATGAGCCACAAATCATTGGGTATAAATTTCATCCATATAACTAGGTTAGGAATAAACTTCTACACAGACACCTTGACAAATGAGGTCAGCCAAAACCTACTTTGATACCATCCTAAAATTTAGAACGGGGTAGGGGTCACTAGACTGAGTAATAAAACACTTGAGATGAGCCGCATTAACAGATTGAGTCTAATTGATTGCCTAGTTGAACTCAAGAGCTTATAAACATAAGACGTATTATTTTCTCTTCAAAGTTCCAATGTAGGACTCTAACAGTAAACAAGAGTATATAAGGGGATAAGAATAAAAGAAACAAGGATTCAAGAGTTGTTCTAGTGTTCAACCATAGGTATATAAATATCGTACCACCAATCCCCAATGAAGACTTATATGCTCAATAGTGAGAAATGAATTGCTCACTAGATGGTAGTTGGTGCTCATAAACACAAATGAGGGTGCACTATGAGCACAATCATTGCACACTAGAGAAAACTCAAATGCTCGCTAACCATAAATTAATTACTCACCAAATTACAATGGATGGATAAAATATTTGTACCTACAGAAAATGGCTCATTTGGGACAGGGTTGGGAGTACGTCGGGATAGGAGGCATTTGGGTCAACATATTTTGGACGAGGTTTGGATTCGAATTGGGTTAACTTCGGTTTTGATCAACTTCACGTCAATGTATTTCGGTTTGGTTTCATGTTTTGTTCGGGTTAAGTTTGAGTTGAATCATGTTTGTGTTAAGTTTGAGTTGGGTCAAGTTTGGGTGAAGATTAGTCAGGTCGGTATGGGTACGTGTCACGTTGATGTTGGTTTGGGTAAGTTTTGGTTAAGGCTATGCGTCAACTTTGGGTCCGGGTTAGGTCAAATTTCAATGATGTATTTTGGGTCAATTTTGAGCGGGGTAAAAGTTGGGTCAAATTAAATTTTGGTTGCGTCATTTTTGGGTTGACTTGGAATTCAAATACTACTATGTTGTTTTATGGTTTGATGATGTGAACTGCAGTCGAAATTGGACAAACCATTCTATTTGGTTAAATGGTTAAGAGAACCGATGAAACAAATTTCAATTATGTTTTTAGTCTTATCATTATGCTCTATGAATGTGGTTTGTATTCGACACTTTTTTTCTTGTGTTTGAACTTTTGTAAAGAGTGAAACAATTCATTGGTATATAACTTATTATCTATAAAAACATTTCCCAAAATATTTATTTCCCCAGGAAAATGATTTCCACAACTTAGGGATACAATAAGAATAACCTGTTAGTTTAGGGGAATGACAATAGGAATGAGGTTAATAGTAAGAAGAATTACTATAGGTATTATAAAGGGATTATATGTAGAATCATACTCCTAATTAGGAGAGTTGTAAGAGATTTGGCGCTTACTATCCATACCAACAAAGTATATCTACTTTTCGGCCACACAAGTCATAAAAAAGGTAAACATTGAGTGTTTGGTGCACTCGGGGAGTTTGGGTTGGAAAAAAAGTTCAGAGTTGTGCGGGTCTAAGAGAAAGGTGTGTGTGAGTCTTCCAGGGAAGCCACTAACATGTGGTCTCAGATTGCTCGGTGCATCAAGGAAGCCGCCCGGGATGTGATAGGTCTGAGCCACGGTACTGGACATCAACACATAGGTGATTGATGGTGGAGTGGTGTGGTTTAAAGCAAGGTGGGAGCTAAGAAGGTAGCCTATAGAAGGTATGTGGATTATAGTGATGAAAAAGTTGAAGCGTCTCTTAGGGTGGAGTATAAGGTTGCCTGGAAGGTAGCAGAGGTTTTGGAGGCCACGAGGGCAAAAAATGCATCTTTTGAACGCCTGTATAAGGACATTGAAGAGTAAGGCGGTGATAAGAGGCTTTTCTGGCTGGCTAAGGCACGTGAGGGAAAGGCCCAGAATTTTAGGCTCGAGTTAGACGACTCGGGGCAAAGGACTTTGGTTATTATCAGTGCATTACTGAAGAAGGTGGTGTGGGCCATCCATAGGATGGGAAGGGGGAGAGTCTTGGGGCTAGCTAAGATTTTGGTAGACTTTTAGAAGTGTGTGGGCCGCTGTGGTTTGGTTTCGGTAAGCATGGTTGTCCCAATTTGTAAGGGTAAGAGTGATATCCAATTATAAAGGAATCAAGCTTTTTAGCCACACCATAAAGGTTTGGGAGTGTATCACTGAAGCTAGGTTGCGAAAGGCGGTGTGCTTTTCTCAGTTTGGTGGCATGCTTGGTCAGTCAACTACGGAGGCTATTCTCACCTCTTGTGAAGGTTAACGGAAGAGTACATGGCTAAAAAGTATCTACATATGGTGCTTATTGACCTCGAGAAGACGTACAACATGGTGACATGGTGTTGAGGGAGAACTTGTGGAGGTGTCTCGAGTTTAGAGGGGTTTCAATTATGTACATTCATGCAATAAGACATATGTATATCGAGGCAAGAAATAGGGTAAAGACTGTCGAGGTGACTATTTGTTGGGGTGGGGTTATACCAGGTCTGCTCTTAGTCCTTTCCTGTTTGCTTTGGTCATGGATGTCCTATTTTACTGACGACATTGTACTGATCGATGAGACACGTGAGGGTATTAATGACAAGTTAGAGCTATGGCATCTTTCCCTTGAATACGAAGGCTTAAAATTGAGTACAACTTAGACTGTATACATGGATGCTTCAGTGGTCGTTAGAACTCATTCCCATCCGGTGCCTAAGAGAGACAAGTTTTGGCACCTTGGTTCAATCATTCTATGTAATGGGGAGATAAATGTCCTTAAAGGCCAATTCTTTTGGGTTGAAAAAATTAAATTCCAACTTTTACCAGCTCTTTCCAATTTTTTCCATATCCTTCCTGTTTTTCCTAACTCTTTCCAGTTTCTTCCAACGACTTGAAAATCTTTTTACATATGATGAATTTACAATAACATCATACTCCCACCGTCCAACTTTAATCTTCCTACTTTCCTTTTCAGTCCGTCCACAAATTATCTTCCCATTTCCTTATTGGAAAATTTTTAAGTGTAAAATGTGTAAGATACCCTTTGAATCTATAAAATCTTTCCCTCTCCCACTGTTGATTTACCACCACACATCACCACTTATCTTTTTTATTCTCATTTCTTCTTCAACTTTTTCTCTACCCAACCCCTTCTCCTTCTTCTTCAGTTCTTTTTCTCCTTCATTTTCTTGTTCTTCATTTCTTCTTCTCCTTCTTCAATTCTCTCTTTCTTCATTTCGTCTTCCCCTTCTTCCCACCCATCATTGACGTACAACCATAAAATTCCCTCAAATTCTTCATCTTCTCTTTTTTTTCAACTCGCTTTCTTTAGATCTGAATATCGAATGGGGATTTGATAGGTGAAGATCTTACCTTCCCCAAAATCTCAGCAGCGAAGATCTGATAGCGATGGAGATCTGATGGAGCTGCTTGATGGGGAGCAACGGCAATGAAGATCTGAAGATGTACAGAGGTGGCGACGATTGAAGAAACGGAAGATGAAGATCTGAAGATGTACGGACCTCTTTTTGTAAAAGGAATGCACCGGATTGAAAATGCCTTGGTGGGAGTGGGTGAGGACATGCTGGGTAGAGAAAGTGGGGAGGGATATAATTGGAAAGTCAACGCAAATTTCAACTTTTATTAAACTTTGTGCCCGGTCAAAGAGGGAACTTTAAAGTTTAAAATTGGACGGAGGGAGTATATCCAAGTTTATAATATACCACCTCAAACACAGACAAAGATGAATATTTGGGTGATCCTTTAATTCAGTGATTTCTTTTAGCACTTTTCATTTTCCAACATTCTCCAACTCCTTCCAGTCTTTTCCAACTCCCAGTTTCTTCTGATATCCGACTTTGGAATTCTAACAGAAGAGAACAGACCCTTACTCATTTTGTTTTATATAGTCCGAAGAGAATCTTTCTTCTCATACAATCAATTCTTAAGCATCACAAAGTATCTTTTGTCATCATCCTCCTAGGAAGATATAATGGAAAAGCACTTGTGCTTTCTCTTTTAGCATTTCGTTCATGTAAATAGAAAAGTATGTGTTGTCTAAAAACTAAAGCAATTCAAAATACCTTCCATCGCCTAGCATTAGACACCTTGTCCTTAAGTTAGAAATAACAGTATTTGCAGCTTCCCTTGATTTGAATATGACAAAAGCTTGTCCTGCTAGGTGCAATATTTGAACATTAAAAAAAGAAACTTAGTAGCAAAAAGATGTCTTCTCACATAGTTAAAGATATAGATGGCTCAGAAAACATTCTTGAGAAGTACCAGAGTGCAGGCTAGAGAATGTCCTACTATGCTGTATCATCTTTGCACTAACCTTCATGTTGAAAGCACACGAGAGAATAGACTGGGAACGAGAAATTTAAGAAATTAATGAATGGAAATATCCAATATTAGCATTTAATGACAAAACTCATTCATCAAACGTTTAATTACCAAGCTAAATGGTGGAAAGTTTTGAACTCTTTCACTACTCATTGATACTATAAGAGGATTGTATACCACTAATCATTTTCGTTAGTCTTTTTCACTAGTCATTAATACCACTAAAATTGAAGCACACAAGTACTTCTACTAGAATATGCTTAGCTTAACAACAAAACTTTGCAAAGAGAAAATTAAAGTCCATCAAAACTTATACTTTCTCTAAGACAACATAGATTTACCATTTAGAATAACTACTGTAGATTGCCATTCAGTAGCTCCATTTAATATTTGATTATGCAACCAGTAATACATTTCTCCACAACATTTCAGTACAATTACACCAAGTCTTAAGTTCTTTTTATTAAAAATAATAATAATGATAGAAAAAAATTGTGGCACATCCGCACATGATACAGTATGTGGATAAATTTTGTTTACAATGTTAATATCTTTCCCCTCTTCATAATATGATTGCGAAATAAAGAAAAATTTTCTTTTAGGATAACAACAAATATGGGGTGGAAGGTATGCACAAACAATATAAAACTGTAAACAACATGCCTAAAAACATGGTCTGACCCACACAAATAAAATTTAGAGTTGTTGCTATTGTAGATACCCAATGGAGAACATACCTCCACATCTATTGAAGTGAATGAGGGATCAAGGTTTCCCAGTAAGACCAGTGTACCTTTTTCTTGAGCCATAAGCATTCTTTCCTCCCATGGCTAGAGCAAATTTAAAAAAACAGATGACTAAAACATAGATAAATAACCAAAATCACCTAATTGATTTCAATTTATTATTCATTTCATCCCACAAAGTTAGATACCCTTGGGTTTGGCATTCTTTTTTAAGAAAAGAAGAAAAGCTGGGCCCACCAAATATAGATGAAACGGTGTGCATGGGGTTCACATTAAGGATGTGAACATTCTTTTGGGACAAGCTAAAAAGGATAGTAGATAGATCCTTGGGAAAAACAGAATAGTGTTCAAATATAGAAATGTTAAAATATAAGCAAATATAAAGTTGAGACTGATACTAACATAAAGTAATTACCCTACTCAGAGTCTAGATTACAGTCGAAAGCCCAGTCCACTCATTTACTGTTTTCCCCAAAAAATACTCCCTCCGTTTCCTAAAACAATTCCTATTTTGACTTGGGAGGGATTTATTTTCGTAGTTTGACCTTCTAATTATATCCTTATCATCGAAGAAAAAACAGAGATAAATCATTTAAATCACTTATTATATCAATGCAAATTGAATGAAGTATATTGCAACGACTTAATTTAGATATATGAGTCATTTTTTCCAAAAATGGAAGTGTTTTAGGGAAAACAAAAAAAATGAAAGAGGAATTGTTTTAAGAAACGGAGGAAGTAGTAAACTTGAAGTGTGGATTTCTTTCATCATTTGTAGTCATTGTTTCATGCCAATTTTGTCACCTTGCTAAGAATGGTTTCAGACCAATTTTGACAATGAAAATCCCACCTTAAGGTTGCATTCCGTTCAACTTATTTTTTCAGGTTATTACTTATTCTTATTAAAATCAGATCAAATCACACCAAATAAGATCAGATCAAACCAGATCAAATCAATCCTGATCAGAAATAGTTTTAAATATATCTACAATAAGATCCTACCATACCAAATCAGACCGGACCGAAAAAGTATACCAATTTTGACCGAAAAAGTCAAAAGTGGACATATACACCCACGGTGAAGGGAGTATTATTATTCTTATTGTTATTATATTTTTTGAGGAAATTATTATAATAATTATTATTATTATTATTTTCTCAACGGCGGCCGTTAACCACCCGGTGACAATTGCGGAAGGCAACGACGAACGACAAAGCAACAACGGCGACTAGCAACCACAGACCAACGGTGGCGGCGTTCCCAATAACAGTACTACACCATTTGTCGCAAACTTTTTCTGATTTGACTTTTTATGGGTTCAAATGTATCACTTTAACCATTAATATTTATATATATATGCATACAGAAATATATTTTATAAAAATTAATGTTTCAAAACTATGTTTCAAAAATAATTTATTGATATTACATTTATATCATAATACAATAAATTTTTTTCGCACATCAATGTCAAAATTTATGAACTTTGACCCAAAAAAATTAATTGAAAAAAAATTATGAACGGAGTGTGTAATTAATAATAATAATAATAATAATAATAATAATATAAAAGATTTAAAAAAGAGGGGTGGAAGAGGGTTGGGTTAGATCGAAAGAAGGGAAGAAGGAGAAGAAGAAAAAAAGAAAAAAAGAAGAAGAAGAAGAAAAAGAAAAAGAAGGATTGAAGAATGGAAGATGAAGAAAGAGGAAGAAGAAGAAGAAAATGAAGAAGATATCGGAGAAATTTGGTTTTGACAGAATATGGACGGAATTTCACCCGGTAATAAGTTTTTGGGTATTTTAAGGTACCCCGTAGTATATTTTAGAAAACAATGGGACCTGTGAGTTCTTATCACAAAAATGAGGGTACCCAGCAGCAATTTTTAGCATATATTCCCTTCATCCCATTAAATTCATGACACTTTGACTTGAGGCGTTTAAGAAAGTTGTTGAAAAATAAAAAGTGTGTGGTTAGAATTTGTTTAGATGAGAGAGAACTGTCAGTAGCCACATATTCATTACCAGAATAGGGAAAAGGTTAGTGTGAAGTTCTATTGGGGACATTCAAAAAAGGAAAGTGTAAAGAATTTAATGGGACAGAGGGAGTAGAAGTTAAATTAGGATGTTGTGTGGACACCAAAAGTTTAGTTAGCTTTCAAGTTGAACAAATTAAACTCAAACTAATGTTAAGTTCAAGTTTTAAGTTCTGTGTTGTGTCAACCTGGGGCAATTTCAAACAAGCCGTAATTCAGACTTTCAAATGACTGTAGAAGATCTCTCTTTACAAATGCTAGTGTTTACCATATTGCATTAAATTGTAATTTAGTAATAAGTGAAAGTTGACTCACTTGTTCGGTGAACCATCTGCTTGATTCCTGAAACCATAGAAGATAAAATAGCAAGAATTCAGGTAAAGAACTCACAAATACACAGCTTGGGCAAAATTTATTGCAGAATTCTTCTACGAAGACAAAAAACTCCAAGGTAAATCTAACTAGACCATTCACAAAAATCCTAACAGATAAGTTAAATTCAAAAGAATAAAATAGAGTAGAATAATTTCCACAAAGGTCCTTTATAATAGGGGTTTTTCCTCATATGGTCCACTACGCGAAAGAATTACATTCTTGGTCTTTTACAGTTGGGGATCATTTTACAGTTGGTCCTCCATCTAACTGTCTGTGTAGTGGCTGTTAATTTGGGGGTAATCTTGTACTTTCAACTCCCTCTTCCTTTAACACAATGATGATTTGAGGACAGGGGGATTGGTGCTGAAGGCGTATGATGTGCCACAGCTGCCCTGGACCCATACGCTCGCCACCGCTGCTGTCCATTTGCTACCGCCTCGCTCAGACCGAGCCTTTCCATACTAAGGTGGGAGCGGCTGAGCAACCGACAGAGCTGTGAATAATAGTACAAAGTACTTCTCTAGATATTTAGAAATGATGGTACCCGATCGTGAGGCAAAAAGGAAGGACTTTTGAAAATCAACCATTTATTGAGAACTAGAACGAATTAATTTATAAAAAAGCTTAATTGAATTCGCCTAGATATTGAATATCTATGAATATTGAGAATTTTTTGTTTTGTTTTGTTAGCTTCATCATTTGGACAATGGTGCCACTGTAATCCAGGATGTTCAGAACAGCAGTAACAACATTCAGGAATTTGAAAAAGGTCTGGGAATGGGCGGCGATGAACATGAAGAGGGACATAACCTCCACGGGCAGCCACGGAATCGCCCAAACAATGGCAAGCCACAAGAAGAAGTAGCCGACGAAGCACTATACGTCTCATGCGAGGTGGCCCGTGGCGAGGGGGAGAGCTGGAATTAAAGACAAAGGAGTAGCGGAGGCCAGAGAGAATTCTGGCATTTGTGTTGATGTCCTCGAAGATGAAGACAACGACATATTTAACACAGTGGGGGGTAACTCTTCCTGGAACACAGTGATGAATAGAGTGGTGAAGGGGGTTGAAGGACGAAAGAGTTTTATATTCTAACAGACCCCTCACGTGCAAGCGAGATTTGTTTTTACTCGAGCCTCGAAGATGAAGACAGAGACATATTTAACACAATGGGGGTAATTCTTCCTCGAACACAGCGATGAATAGAGTGATGAAGGGTTGAAGGACGAGGGATTTTATATTCTAACAGACCCTTCATGTGCAAGATTTGTTTTTACTCGAGCCTCGCACGCAAACATTAATTTTTTTAACTACGTGGCAGTAAGGTTCAAACTCATGACCTATAAGTTAAGACTCTGATACAATGTCAAAGAACCGATTCAACCAAAAGATCAAACTTGTGGTGGTAGACCTAACAAAGGTTTTATATTCTATAGAATGGTTCCCAATAACAAAAGACCAAGAATGTAAATCTTTTGCATAATGGACCATATGAGGAAAACCCTATCACAAAGGACCTTTCATAAGAATTACTCAAAAAATATCAATGCACAAGAATAGCACAAACTCATTCACTAGCATTTAAGAGAGAAGTGATTATGAAAAAAGACAATTGAACACTTGAAAAATCTATTTCAAATAGCATTAAGGACCGAAAAAAAGTGTTTGATTGATGCAATCATACATTGGTTATGTTTCCAATAATCAATGCTGCATGATCCCTTCACAAGTATTGCATAGTTCGCACTTTGTGACCTTAAAATTTTCTCTTTCAATTAATTACCTCGGTTGGCTTTCGTGCAACTTCCATAATTTGAGAATCAGTTCTCAAGCTCTTATTCTTTTCCAAATACTCGGCTTTTGCATGAAACTCGCTGACTTTGTATTCCAATTGCACTGCCTTCTCCTCCGAACCTTTTCTCCGGCTAACATTTGATTGAAGAGAAAGTCCTACAGCATCATGTTTTTATTAATGCATTCAATGTTCCTACAGCATCATGTTTTATTAATGCATTTAATGTTCTTCTCATTTCTATAAGTTTGATAGCAAGTTTAAGTTGAGAGAGACCTGAATGGTTTCCATGTTTTATCTTCTTTGGTAAGGAGGAATAAGGAACATCTATAGCACTTCCATGCTTCTTCCTCGGTGGAGAGGGTTCAGGGTTTTCATGTTTCCTCTTCAATAATTGGGATGTACCAGGCACAACAACAGCATCATTCTTTACAGGATAGTAAGCCTTTTTTTCTGAAGTCTTAATTAATGATAAAGGCTCTGTCAAAATTCAGAAAAATGTCAAGTTTGGTGACTTGGTAAGTGGTACAGCGCTGATAAATCAATAAATAAAAGTTTATTTCGTATTTGAAGTAAATAATTTTCATACTAGTCGTGCTAGAATTCCATGATTAACTTTTGCTGCTCCGTACCCCATAACCGAATTAACCTTAACACTTTTTGTAACCAGATCTGTACCTTGGGCAGGATGAGACTGCGACTCTTTCCTTTGATTAAAGTAATTCTTCACTGCAAACATTGAAGTACTTACGAAAAAAGTTATATTCTAGAAATATTAATTAGTCTAATGTAAACCCGTAAAACTATGTAGGGAAAGCCAATAGCAAAAAAGGTAATTAGCATGCAGGTGAAGAAATGACAAAATAGTTTAGCTGATTTCTCAACTGAGAACTTTTTCCAGGTATCTTCTTGACCTCTTAAAACATTAGTGATAGATGATGACCTATTGCACTCTTTATAAACATCTATTTAGAAGACTCGCTTTTCCGAAATATGCAACACCTTGAGCAAGTACCCATTACATAAAGACACGCAGACACAGGAGAGAATATGTGATAGTCCTCTAGATAGCTAGCCACTATGTTACGAAGTATGCACGGATGAAGAAATAAAGGGAGAACAACAACATCAAAAACAACAAACCCAATAAAGTCCCACAAAAATAATGCCTGGGGAGGGTGTGCGTATGCAAACCGTACCCCTGCCCGGAAGTAGAGGGAGAAAACTATTTATAGTACTAGCTGGTTATAGAAATGAATGGATTGTATCATACATTTGTTAAGACAGGTGTAGGTTACACAACAAGATACCATCTATTTAATGTAACAAACCTTCAACATTCGCGATTAAATCGGGGAATATCTTTGATAATCTGCGGCTTTGTGCATCAAACGTACGGAAGTATACATAAGAGGCCTTTCTCAGCTCTTCTTCTGTTGGCTGAGTGTTTCTTCTATCTTTTGATGTGCAGACAACTGAGCATTTCCCACAGATTGCTTCCTAAGAAGTGATCAATAGTCCAGGTAATAGACAGGTAATTGAACTCTAGACATACATAGTGCTGCTATTTTACACAATCACAGCATTCACAACTACTGGAAAATCTTTAACTACTCCCTCCGTCCTAAATTAAGGTTTCACATTTGACTGTTCACGTTTATTAAAAAGGTGAAGTTAAGTGGTTGAGAGTTATGCAGAGAAGAGCGAAATGATGTCAACCCTATAATCATTTCTGTAAAAGGAAAAAGAAACTTTAATTTGGGACAAACAAAAAAGAAAATGTGGAAGCGTTTTTTGAGACAGAGAGTGTATATCTTAATACCAACATAAATATACACATTTTGCTAACTCAATAACTGTTCCGGCAGCCAACAGCACAACACCCAAGCCTTTTTTTGTCATCCCCTACACGTCTACCACCCAAATAGAAATAAATCTCCCTATGTTTTCTACATATACCAACCTATAGAACCAGGCTATTGTTCATAAGGTCACCTTGAAGTTGCAAGTACAGGACAATATGCATGACTAACAACTTTCTTATGACATGCCCCAACTCTATTCACGTCAAAAGGAATGAATTGAGTTTGGAATAGTTATATAGTCCCCTTTCCCAGATGCATGCAGCATGTACATATACACTTACATATGAGAATATTAAACCCTTGAAATGTGGCAATGCTGCAATGCACAGAATAAATAAATACTGTATAAAAAAGAGTATCTAAAGGAAACGGCCATTACCAACGGAATCACATTGAAAATGCCTTTCCCCTCGCCAGAAGCTAAGAACAACTCACTTGGGAGAGGTCGGACATCACCTAACCAGTTTTGTATATCAATTGGTCTGAAAAACCACACAACCTTTGCCTTCCTGATGCCTGTATGTGTTTCAAATATCTTTACAAGCTTGCCAATTTGAGGCTCGGGTTCATCATTGCACCACACATACACACAATCATAAAGGAAATATTCTGCGCCATTGTAGGTGAATGATTCGTAATGTTGAACACCCGTCTTGCGACCCCAACTAAAATGAATACATTCTCCTTCTCGTTCTCCTTCTTGTTTTGTGACTAACATGATTTCAGGGTAATGCCAACTTCCTAGTCCTTCTGAAGCGATGAATTTGAATGAACATAAACAGTTATTCTCTAATCAATTTCATTATGAACAGCAAGCTAGCTTAGATATAGTGTTTCAATCCAACTGAAAAAACATCTACTGTAAGTAAGCAAAGAAATTTGTAGCACATATTGACTGAAGATAAAAAAATACTGACGGGAAGATGATAAAATCTCTGGTTCGTAGAACACAACCTGTTCCGGACTTCCGTAACCTTGTCGGAAAATGCAGCCATAGTGAAAAGATGCGTATATGAAAAATATAGAAGGGGATGAAATAAGAATGAGATTGTTTTTTAGACTTTAGCAGATACATTGTGAGGGGAGGGGAGAACCCTTACCGATGACTGCTGAAATCTCGCTCACTTTTTTGCTCAGGCCTCTCGATAACTTTACGAAATTCTATCTAATTTGATACTGTAATGCGCAAACAGTTCCATAGTTCATTGAAATTTGAAAATGAAGAACGGGAGGAAGAAGAGAAGAATAAGACGAAAAACAAGCTTTGATTGCTACTTGAGAGCCCAATTACAATTTAGCTTTGTGTTTTGGCTAGAAATTGGCTTTGTATTGATGGAAGTGATTAGTGAGTGGTCCGGAAGAGTGATTAGTGAGTGGTCCGGAAGGGCTAGAAATTAGCTTTGTATTCATTTGTACTCTTTTTTTTTAAATACGACTCGAACCCGTGTGTTGCATGGACAATATATAGTTAAAAACATGGCACATTCAATGATGCAATAAAACCAAAGATATATAATATTTGAAAAAAGTATAAAAATAAAAATAATTTCAAAAAAGAAAGGATAATATTCATTGATACAAAGAGTGCTTACAAATCATTATAAATTCTGGAAAACTTCTTTATAAACTATATTTGTAGTTTAGTTAAATGACTCAAGTTTATCATGGCATATTAAGATCTTTAATCCATTGTGATTTGTGACACGTGAGATTGCCACATATAACTGCTCATGACTAAAGACAGGCTTCTTGAGTAGAAGGCCAACATGTGACAAAGATTGACTTTGACTTTTATTAATCGTCATTGCATTCGAAATCATAATGGAGAACTGTTTTCTTTGAAACTTAAAAGGAATTCTTGTATTTGACGGTGTAAGCAACAATCGTGGGAAAACTACTTCTTGACCAATATTTTTTCCTGTCGGCACACTTCCTTGAATAAGATGTTTACCGAGGCGGGTGACTATCAACCTTGTTCCATTTCACAATCCCGATGATTGGTCTATATTCCTTAACAACATGATAGGGGTTCCGACCTTCAAATTCAATTCATGATTTGGCACTTCTGATGCTCGTATGTTATTGAGAAATTCAGGAAAGTGCAAGTCTGTTAAAAAATCAACATTTTAATACACACAGCATCAGAGCTTAAGTAGCATTTGGCTTCTCCGGCATTGTTCAATGACGTCATGTATTCATTTATTTGATTGACTACGTCTAGAGTACGTGCTAGGATAGCTCGATTTTGCAGATATGTAGGATCGTTTGCAATATTGTGGAAGTCTAGATATGTAGAATTTACTATTGACGCAATCGGGTCTCCGTTGTTTTTCAACAACATATCATCAGGGATAATAACCTCAGCAACTCCATCGTTCTCTCCTTCAGCAAGACCATCACCAATCATTGCAATCCATTTGGCAAATTCTCTCATACTTTCAATGTTGTTATCGCAAGACATGTGCTGCAATCGCATGTTTTTCGTCAAGCATAACACAGTGCAATAATTCCATAAGTACAAAGAGTTAATGGTTGCATTGACAATATCTAGCCTGCTTCCTTTGGGAATGACTAGTAGAATATGACGAAACCCCTCCCCCCCCCAAACAATTGTCTTCCCTCCCAAAGGCAGGTACGCATTTATTGGATTAGACACAGTCATAAAATCACGAAAGCTCCTATCAAGAGCTTTGAAACAATACTTGTGTGTCATCAGGGCTTCGTCCCAAATTATAAGTTTGCAATGAAGCAATAACTCTGCCAATGATGTTCCTTATTTAATGTTACAGGTGGAATTCTCATGCGGGTTAATTGGAATACCAAACCGCGAGTGTGTTGTTCTTCCCCCATGTAACAATAATGATGTTATGCCACTTGAAGCCACGTTTAAGACAATCTCTCCTCTTGAACATAAAGAAGCAGACAAAGTTTTCCAAACAAAGGTCTTACTAGTTCCACCTAACCGTAGATGAAAAAACTTTTCCCTCATTAGAATCAACCGCTGCCATTATTGTTTCATAAGTTGTACGTTGTTCGTCATTCAAATCCATCATCAGCTTAAGGTGTTCCTCTTTCAATGTCAAGCGATTGTAATGTAATTCATCTAGGATTAGCCTGTTGCAAATTGTTGAAGCAGCATCTGAAATGGGGAAAGGCATATCAACAAAGTCTCGAAGAGTTTTTGATCGCATTCTAAGCAACATCTCAATCTTGATCAAGGCGTAGTTCTTGATCTGATCCTGTGTTAACATCAAACCTACACATGATGGAAATTAAATTATTCAAAATGAAAGGGGGTTTAAACAATAAAAACCTGAATTGAATGCTACATTGATGACTTAGAAGACTTCTTTGACAGTGTAGAATATCATCGGCCATGAATTCCCAACAATATTCCCAAACATGATTTAGTCTTGACATAGATTCGTTCATGAGTAGTGTGACAAATAAAAATCTCAATTGTTTGGCCGAACACCATGAACATACTTCCTTGAAACCATCGATGAACTCCCTGTCATCATGTAATAATCCCATGGCATAACATGCATCTCGATAAGAGTTGTGGAGAACACCATCTACAGTTCTAAGATCTTCGCATGAAGTTGGACCACGCACAATGTTTAAAAGAATCCTCATATAATACGATTCACTAGACTCCGGAGGATCGTATATAATACGACCTTTGGCAAACCCTCTGAGTCGAGGTTCATATTCTCTTTTACCTTGCTTCCAAACAAAATGTTGTGGGAACTCAGCATATGTCAAAGTCTTTGCTCTCATGTATGCTTTCTGGAGTGTAAACATCACTTGCATCATCATCATCTTAAAAAACAATCCATTGCTCACCGGGTAGATGGAAACTTAAACGTTCAACATTTGGACATTTATATTGTATAACAAATCTAAAGATTTGCCATGTTGCCTCGCAAGGAGAGATATATCTGCAATCATAATATAATTTGATTTCATTTTGCATTTCCAATGATTGATTTGCCCTTGCTTCGATGCTTGCATAAAAGCCGGCGGTAACAAGGTCATGACCTTTATTGATATACTTGAATAAGTATTTGATAGACCGTGATTGATTACATCATTCAACATTTAGACGAGTCCTGTATTTAAGCAAGAGATACCTATTGTGTGGCACAACGAACCTATTGTCCAACTCAACAGCTTTCTTTAATATTGTTTGTCCATTATTCCTTCTGCGATATTTTGGATAACCATCATTGTCGACTATGGTCTCCTCGTTGAATTCTTTTGGGAAATATTTTGAACATTTGCCATCTTTCATGGAAGGGGACTTGGGTGCATTGTTCCCACATGGTCCGTGAATCATAAAATCTCGAACCACGTTAAAGTATTTCGGATCCTTAACTTCATTAGGCAACTCCGCAGATATGATTCCATCAATATCTTTAGGTGTCAAAAATTTATCTTCCTGACCCAAAAATAGCAAAATGTGGGCATGCGTTAGTCCACACTTTTGGAACTCAACAATGTAGACAACTGAAATTAAGAATATGATACATTGTTCAATAAAAATTTTGCAACGATAATTAATAATATTATATATAAAATTATGTAATGTTGTTATAAAATCCACTTACTTGCTCTAACTCTTCCAAAAATTTCATTCTTTTTTAAATCTCTTATCAACGCATTCAGTTTCACATTGAAGACTCGATAAGCAATATCTGGACGATCCTCTGCATTTAAATCTCTTTCTCGCAAGAAACGTTCAATCTCCGGTCACTTTGGATTGCAAGTGAATGCTAGAAATAGATCCGGATAACTAGTTTAACGACATATTGCCATAGCATCTTGATAGCTCTAAATCATATATCGCGCGCCACCAACAAATTTAGGGGGGACAACAATTATCTTTCCTTTGGTAGACATATCATTGTCACCATTTACCAAAGAATCTGATAATCTATAGTACATGTCACAACGCAACTTTTTTAGTGCTTACTAATGTTTGTCAATCTAGAGGAATCAACCATCGTATAACAATCAACACATAATTCTTGAAATAGTCTTTTGGATCGCAAGATGAATGGACTTTCATATTCCCTTTCATGGAAGCGATAGGAAAGAAACTCTTGAATGCTAACACTCCTACGTCCTCCGACTTTGAGTGAAGTTTTCTCAACAAATGGTATATCCTCTCGATAACCATCATTCGCCTTAATAGGTAGGATTTAACTCAGAAATCCGTTTCAATGGTCCGTATTGAATTTATACCAGAATATCTCTCACTCCTAATGCCTGATCCAAATCACCAACAATTAATGCTGCGGCTTCCCCAACAGATGGCAAATTGTAAACTCTAGGATCCAAAGATCTCCTCCCAACTAATTTCAACATCAATGAGAGATCCGTTGATTCGCTTATCTTTTCCCCAATCATTCGAAAGGACTTCACTAATACATTATGAGTATCCAACATTTGCCTTAGCTTTGCAACAATCTCGACATGCAAAGAATGCACATCAGGGTCTTTCCTAAAAAATGGAAATTTATATAGAAGTTAATTTAGGCTATTACACGCGTTTATAAAAATTTCATGTAAATTTTTTACATGAAAGACAAAAATAATAATCGTAACATAAAAATACCTAACTGCCATGATTCTATTGAAGTCCTCATTTTGTGTATCAAAGATGTATAGCTGGGCAAATTTGGAAGTATTCTATCATGAGGTAGCAAGCTTCCAATTTGATGATAGTTTTCCCCACCAAGCTTAAAAGTTGGAGGTCCTCTATCGGGAGTTGAATCTCTAACAATACGCCCTCCAAGAGATGTGAAAGAGAACATACAGTTATATGATCTAATGTTTTTCTGAAAGTGTCTACTCTCAGTTTCTATTCCATCGAGCAATTCTCTCAAAGGACTCGGTGCATCTTTGACTAAAGACAATTTTATATTTCCATGTTTACAACACTAAGAATATTTTGGATCTTTTTTGTAAGAATGACTCATAACCTGCTCTTCAAGCCAAAAGAAGGCATTAAAATACTTACATTTGTAAATACAATCTCCAATATCAAAATATTCTATATTTTGAGACTTCTTTTTTCTTGATGACTTAAGCCCTTGCAAATTCTTGGGGTCAACCACGTCCATGAAGTCCAAATCTAAATCTATAACAACTTGAGGTTTACTTGGATGGAAACCTTCAACGCATAAATCAGAATCTACCCCCCATGATTGTGCAACAAAAATGTCTATAAATGTAGTGAGGTGTAACGAAGAGTTCGTGTCTTCGGTCACTGTGCATTGTTTTAAGATAAATGTATTAGAATTTGGTATTTTACCCGAGTTGTCTACGTCCATTAAAATGATAGTTAAAAAATACATGTAACACACCTACTTAAAATGATCATTTTCTTAGTCAAATCGTTCTTTGTGTAATACAACTCCGAGATTGACTCGTGTAATCATTCTTATGGAATTGCGTAGAGGAATTCATGTAGCTTGATGACCATGAAAGAAAACGATCAAATTGCGTTGACACATTAACTGTCAAAAAACGGTGTTGGAATCATTATTGAAAAGATAATGAAAAAGACATATTAATAAGAATAAATAATAAGTAGAAAAAATAAGTTGAAAGAAACGCTGCCTAAAACATGTGAGTCAATACTTAACAGAACAAAAATGGTTGAACTCATGTATTCCAACAATAAAAGCATGTAATATATGTAATTACTAAAAACATGACTTTGTGTTGGGCACCCTATGAGCACATGCACATTCCTAGCTAGTACTATATATATATTAATAACAAGAAAAATACTAAGGGAGAAGGGGTATACCAAAACCTTACTCCAAGTATACACCACTCTCTCTATCACACAATTTTGGATGTGAATAAAAAGATTAGCTAGAGAATGGATAAAGAATATATGGTGAATAAAGTAATGATGTACAAATGGGATATACGGATGTACCTCTAGCATTAGTCTCTTCCCAATATTCTAATTTGATTGTGCTGCCAAGAGCCCAAAGTCCCAAACACACAGCCCACCCAAATGCCCTAAACCCTGCTCAAAGTTGATTGCGCATATTCTCAAGGCCATGAATCCAATCATTGAGCCCACTGGAAAACCCAACCCTAAAATCACCGTTATACAACACGCCCACACACCACATACCTTTTTACCCTCGCCAAGTCGCCAAACCCAACTTAGAGGGAGTCCGATGAAGCGCGACGGAGGCAGGAGGGTCCCAGGAGGTAATACTAGGGGCAGGGGAAGTGGAGGAATGAAGGGCAATAGCATGGTTGTGGTGGAGCCTCATAGACATGAGGGAGTGTTCATTGCGAAGGGTAAGGAGGATGCCCTTGTCACTAAGAATATGGTCCCTGGTGAATCTGTCTACAACGAGAAAAGAATTGATGTTCAGGTATGCACTGTTGTTGAGTGCATTGATTATATATATTAACCCCTTTTAAGTGGATTTTTATTGGTATTCAATCTATTCTAATGGATTCATTATCCCCATTGGAACAAGTGAGCTGGTTGAGATTTTGCATCTAGTCACGATTCTGACTTCCACTCAGTTATTGCCTTTCCTTAAATGATCTTTCTAAATTTTCTTGTGTAAATTTTAAATCTGCTCGTATGGCAGAATGAAGATGGGACAATGGTTGAGTATAGAGTGTGGAATCCATTCTGTTGTAAGTTGGCTGCTGCTACTCTTGGAGGGCTTGATGAAATTTGGATTGTAAGTCTTGCTATTTGTGTGTTATCAATATCTAAATTCTTTGTTATTTGGAAATTTGGTAAAAACCACCTAACAACCATCTCATTTCTTAAGTAACATGTAGTATAACTTTTTCTAGGAGAACCACCTTTGACTTCTTTTTTTCAGTTGAACTACCAAAACAGTGAAACACAACCCCTTCAGCCACCCACATTAACCATCAAGCATATCAGCTAGTTGTATATAAATAAATATTATCACAATATACTGACATTAAGAAAGTTGTTGAAAAATATTGAAAATTGAGTGCTATAATATGTTTGGAGTAGCTATTCGCATTTTTACATATCTTTTTTCCAAAATGGAAATAGAAGTCAGACTTTTAAGTAAGGATTTGAGAAAGAAATTGATAACCATTCAGGGGCAGATGGTGTAGTATTTTAATAATACATTTCAAAATAAATCGGATGATATTAAGTATTTGTTGTAATTCAGTATATTACTCTAAATGTCCACCAGGAAGAAATTGTTAGGATAGCGTATCTGACTAAACACAATGAAAAAGGACATTAAAGTGGTTCTTTTGAAAATTGATTTCAGGGTGTTATGTACAAAATGAGGTATTTGTTAGTTTGTATCTTGCAAATTTATCCAAGTATAGAGTATTATCTAAAAATGTATTTTAATCCTGTTATGAATCAACAAGAAACCGGGTGCACGTGTTCTCTACCTTGGAGCTGCATCAGGAACAACAGTTTCTTATGTTTCTGACATTGTTGGCCCTACTGGGGTTGTCTATGCCTTGGAGTTTTCACATAGAAGTGGTAGAGATTTAGTGAACATGGCAAAGAAAAGGACCAATGTTATACCCCTTATTCAAGATCCCCGACATCCTGCAAAATACTGAATTTTAGTTGGCATGGTAGATGTTGTATTTTCTGATCTTGCTCATCCGGATCAGGTTCTCGTTCCACCCATCTCTTTAGTTTGGTGTATGTATTTTATGCATCTTAAGGAGGCATTTCTCTCATTTCTTAATCTGCTTGTGTACTTTTCACAAGGATCAAACCAAATTAATTAATTTATCTACTTTTGTTAGTCATTTGTCGAAATAATAAAGTCCATTGACTTTCTGGTTAATATTCCATCTTTCTCAAAAAAAGGTTCACATCACTAGTATGTCAACCTATATTTTCTTTCTTTATATACTTTTATTAACTTTTTTACAAAATAAGTCAAATTATGGTTAGTTAAAGTTTTTATGCAATTTTTATTCTACATACTTTTTTTTATTTATTACACTAATTTTTTAATAAATTCAATTGGAAATAATTTCCCTCAAGCGTCTTAAATTGATGTTTTATGAGTATGAGGCATTTTTGGAACACAGGGAGTAAAGGATTTGGTATATTTTTAATTACTCTACATTTTTTATTAATATTTTACACCAATATTTAAATTATTTGACTTTAATCAATCATGTAACCAGAAACATGATTTTTTTAGAGTACTCTGGAATGTTGCATCTGTTTAAGTTTCATGATGCTCATGTTATGAGTTTTAGCATCTTAAAAGCAGGTGATGATTTACTCGGATTCCCCTTCAAGTCATTTTATATTTTTATTGGTTGATGCAGAAACCTAGTTTTTGATGCCTGATTTTTTGCAAACCTAAGTATCTTAACCAATATAACTCTTATATTTCTCATGTTTGAAATTTTTTATTCTCCTCAGTTTTCTAATTAGTAGTAATTTATTCTATCTATTTTCAGATTAATCTTGAACATTCCCAATTATATAGTGTAATGCCTGTTCCCTATTTGTGTCTTAGATTTGTCAAGCATATGATGAGTTACTCGGATTCCCCTTCAAGATGTATTGGATGATGCAAAACCGAGTTTCTGATGCCTCACTTTTTGCAAAACTAAGTATCTTAACGAATAAAACTTTAAATTTCTCATGTATTAAATTTTATATTCTCAATCTTGAACATAAAATATTTGTATTCTCATTTATTTTATATATTTTCAGATTAATCATGAACATTCTCACTTATAAATGGTGCAATGCTTTTTCCATATTTTGTGTCTTAGTTTTGTCAAGCAAATGATGAGTTACTCGGATTCCCCTTCAAGACATATTGGGTGATGCAAAAACCGAGTTTCTGATGCCTTTTTATAAATTCCTTACAATTCTTTTAATTTAGGAGGTTTAGTTTTCTTTCCTTTTATTTTAACAACCTCTAATCATCCCTATTATAGTGGTTTATCGAGTTACTTAAAAAACACATGTATATCTATATATACTTTCAATTTTGTTTTTAAAATTTTTAAATTCTTAATTGATTTTTACTCAAGACTTAATATGGGGCACAAGAAGTCTTGACGTCCAAGTCAAGAGTCAATCCCACCTTGTAGGCATTTGATATCATGTTGTGTTTCGCTATTATGGTTTGGGTAGGCATTTGATAACATGTGGTACATGTGACAAGAGTAGTTTTGTATTAACTCATCTTAGTTAATTATTTTTTTCTCTCGTTCTGATATTCTTCTTGAAATGCTCCTTGTGATCATATTTATTTATAGGCAAGGATATTAGCATTGAATGCCACCTACTATCTGAAACCAGAAGGGCATTTTGTCATTTCCATAATGGTATGTTTGGAAACATGGATTTGGATTTCAAATCCGGATTTGGGTTAAATTCCATGTTTGGGAAACTTAAGCATTTTGAATTTGGATTTGAATCAAATTCTTTACATTCAAAACAAAACTTAATTTGAAATCCATGCACCTCCCCTTGTCATTTGAAATTCAAGATTTCAAATTTTGGAATTGAAATTCATGAATTGAAATGAAATGCTAGTTGCCAAACACTACCTAAAGGTTTGTTTTCCATAAGAGAGTATAGTACACCATTTGTGTGACTTTAATTTGTGCTTTCTCTGTTTGTTCACGGGCTCGTACTCTATATCGGCATTTTGTTCTGGTTTTCATAGGCGAACTGCATAGATAGCACTGTACCTGCTGAGGCGGTGTTTGAGCAGGAGGTTAAAAAACTGCAAGCAGAGGAATTCAAGCCAATGGAGCAGGTAACACTTGAACCGTTTGAGCGAGACCATGCTTTTGTTGTTGGGGGATACAGGATGCCAAAGAAGCAAAAGCCAACATCCTAGAAAACTAGTTGGGCACAGTTTTGGTTCCATTATCTTAGATGTCAAGTTTATGTTCTCTCAAAGATTGTTAATGTTGTGCATAATCAACCTTGCTTTGGCACTTTCCTAAAAAAACTTAGCTTAGGTACTTAAAGTTCGAATATAACTGCTTTATATAACTTTGCTTAGGCACTTTAACTTAACAATCTCTCAAAGATTGTTAAGTTTATCTTTGATTCGAATATAACTGTTTTATGCATGAACTAATGCGCATTAGTTTATTGCATTTCTAATTTTAAGTACCAGTCATGTTCGATCACTTCAATGTATGTTGGCTTCTTTGAAATTTCTTTTTTAACCTACTCTAAAACAAAATGTTGGTAAGACGGCGTAGATCTTAGGTCGTACCTCATATCTTATACTCCCTCCGTCCCAAAAAGATTTACACGTTTCAAAAAAATTGCGTCCCATAATCTCTTACCCATTTCTATTAAAAAACCATTTTTACCCCTTACTTTTTCAAATTCTACCTATCACATCATACTTTTTTTCTAATAATCTACACATCACATTTTACTTTTACACATCACATCAAGGGTATTTTTGGAAAGTCAACACAAAATTATCCCTCCTTTAATTTCAACTTTAATCAAAATGGGTAACACTTTATGGGACGGAGGGAGTAATTAGGAGTATAAAATACCAAATAATACTATATTACTCTATATGAAATTAAGAGCCTTTTCTTTAAGATTCGAAAAAAAGAGCCAAATGTTGGAAGAAATTAGAAAAAATTGGAGGGGGTCTGAAAGAAATTAGAAGAAATTGGAAAGAATTGGAAGAAACTGGAAGGACTGGAAAAAGCTAGAAAAACTTCTGAAAATTGGAAAACTTAAAAAAACTTTAAAAATAATTTATTTTAGTGTATATTATATTATTCTGATTCTAATTCTTGTTGTTATAAATTATTATTATTATTATTATTATTGTTATTGTTATTATTATTATTATTATTATGTTATTATTATTATTATTATCATCATCATCATCACGTTATTACGTTATTTTAATGAATGTTTTTAAGATAAAAAAAGTATTGTTATTTTTCAAATACAAAAATTTAGTTTTTCAAAAAACATTATAATATAAAGTTATCATAAATATTAAAATGTTAAATTTTAAAAAGTTTTTGTGGTTACGTTGAACTTCAATTTATTTATGCAGTATTTATTATAAATAGTGTATTTGTAATTATACTTTATACGGAGTATATTATAAGATTTTGTTTTAAACATCATACATATCACATAATATAATCAAATCTATTTTTTCTTTCATGATTAACATTTTATTTCATTGTAAGTTCTATTATTGGAATAAAGATGAAGAACTTTTTTTTTTTACATTTTTATGTTTCATTCTTATTTTACTCTTTTTCTCTAAACTATTTTAGTTCTCCACTTCCCCTGCCTCCGGTATTACCTCCTCGGACGCTCCCGCCTCCATCGCGCTTCACCATTATATACCACGCCCACACACCACATGTTTAAATATAAGTTGGACTACCTTTAATACCTCCTAGAACTCCCAAAACCTCATTACATACTCTATCCCACAAAACTAAAGTTACATTGCCATGACAATTTACGTCCAATGCGTGAACTGTAACCTTGTACCTGTATTAAAAGTATAATTAAATTTTATTTACGGTTTATTTTTATAAAATATAGGAAACATGTCATTAAAATTTTACATACTTGTATGGAGGCTTAGAGTATTCCTTGTCACACAGGTTGCGCTTAAACCCAGTGTCCAAAAGAACAACTTTTCCATTGCATTCTATACAACCTTAATAACACCACTCATAGTTTTTAATCTCAACAATTTCAGCTAACAACCAATACTTTCCAGTATGTACAAAAATTAAATGGCTTTTTTTGTCAATTAAGAAAAAAAGAGTAAATTCCATAAAAGGTCACTAGTTATAGGTCATTTTACATATTTAGTCCCTACATATCAAATATTACTAATTTAGTCCCCAATTATTATATTCATTTCCACGAATGGTCCTTTGTTAACATTTCCGTTAAGAACGTGGATAGACTCTTTCTCTCCTCAATTAAGCTTTCTCCCTCCCCTCACACTCCTTTCCCAAACCCGTCGCTGAGTTTGAAACTTTGAAGCCAAAACCAAAATCATCACTCTTCTCTCAATTGTTTGTCTAACTGGTGGAACCCAAATTCGTAACCAGTAACTTTCATGGAGGAGTTTTAATGTTTATTTTCTTTGCAATTTCTTGAGACTAATCGATAAAACTCATCTATAAAGCTTATGAGTCTTGATTCTAGGTTCCATCAGGAAGACTAATAATTGAGAGAGGAATGATCATTTCAGTTTTGGGTTTAGAGCTTAATAACGAGTTTGAGAAAGAGTACGAGAGCAGGGAGAAAGCTTAATTGAGGAGAGAGAGAAGTATGAATATGCAATTTTATCCATTTTCTTAACAAAGACATTAACAAAGGACCATTCGTGAAAAATGATATAATAATTGGGACTAAATTAATAATATTTGATATGTAGGGACTAAATATGTAAAACGACCTATATATAACTAGGGACCTTTTATAGAAATTACTCAAAAAAAAGAAAGAAAAAGGGATGTTTATAACTTCTTAACCTGTGTAATTGATTTCAGTTCATCAACAGATGTTATTGCAAGTCCCTCTACGCATGGAACCTGTTTCATCACTTTGTGTTGCAATTGTAAAGCAGCTCATAGATATACTACCAAGCAGTAAAACTCCAAGCCTAAGGGAACTAAAATAGTGAATTTATATGTTAACTGTAGATAACAACGACTAAAATGAGAAAGAAAAAAACATACTTTTCTTTTAAACTTCGTATCTCATCCATGTCATTGTCCATGACTACCTTGCTCACATTATACGCACTTGACATAAAGACTTTTCCTAAAAGCAAATCACACTTTTATTTTCACAACACAATCAAAATTGCAACAATTTTAACAAATTCATTCAACTCTAAAAAAGAACACTAACCTAAATATTTTTTTGGGAATACCATTTGCAATAAAAAAATGATAGGTTCTGAACCATGCCGTAGAACTTCATTCACTCTTTCAACATGTTTTCCCCACAGAGTATATCCAATTCGCTTCTCACTATATGGAATTTTCTGAAATAAAAAGCATGTATTCAGAATAAAATAGTAAAGAACTCAACACGTAGAAAAAAAAATCATACACATTGTATCTTCAAGAGTAAGTTCCATGAACTTGGTTGAAACTCCTTGAACATCCTTTATTTCTTCCTTATTTTTACAAACAACTCTTCCGATAACATCTACAAAAATTAAAGTTGAGATGTAAAAATGAAAGTTGAGACCAAAAATGTATTTTTTTTAGTAAGCATTTTGTTAGAATATAAATAACTGTTTCTGGGCCACAACTACAAGCTTGAGCTTTTGGTTGAATTGGTTCCTTGACATGGTATCAGAGCTTTTGGTTGAGTTGGTTCCTTGACATGGTATCGGAGCCTCGTTGACTAAGAGGTCACGGGTTCGAAACTCAGCGCCACCCAGTTTAAAAAAAATTAAGGTTTCACGTGCAAGGCTCGAAAAAGACTACGCCTGCACGTGAGGGGGCGTGTTAGAATATAAATAACTGGTTCTGGGCCACAACTACAAGCTTGAGCTTTTGGTTGAATTGGTTCCTTGACACATTTCATTTATTTCAACACTATTACAAAAATTGGTTTTCTACACAACAAATTATACACATACTTTTACACTATGTTTGGTTCAAAGAATTTTGAAGGAAAAGAAAAGAAAATGGTTTTCTCACATTTTCATCACCGAAATGGGAGGAATTTGATTTTCCCTCCACTTGGTAGATTTTGCCTTCTCATTCTCTTTTCCTTTCACTTTTTCTTTCTAACCAAACAAGAAAACTTGTTTTCTACTTCATTTTCTTTTCTTTTCTCTTTTGAATTCCTTGAACCAAACATAGTGTTAACGTTAAAAAAAACAATTTAAAAGAGGGAAAAAGATTATGAGCTACTTAAAATTCTCGAAAAAAGGCTAGAGGATGCATTTCTCAGGACATCCTAAAAAAGAATAAAGAATCTTTACCAAAAATTATGTCATTCATTTCTTTGGGTTTAATTGGCAGCTTTATCGTCACATTTGTTTTGGAAAGATTTTTTTTTTTGTTAAAATGGCCCGTTTGTTCTCCATGTACTTTTTTTTCATGCATCATTTTCTTTATTTTCTCACCATCCAAAATGATATACTCCCTCCGTCTCAAAAGTTTGTTACGTTTAGAAAAAACTGCGTCCCATAAAGTCCGTTACATTTCTATTAAAAAAACCACTATTACCCCTTACTTTTTCATACCTTATCTATCACATCATACTTTTTTTCTAATAATCTACCCATCACATCCTACTTTTACCCATCACATCAAGGGTATTTTTGAAAAGTCAATACCAAAATATCCCTCCCTTAATTTCCCAAAAAGTCAAACCATCCCATTCTCTTTGGGACGGAGGGAGTACGAAGTATATATATTTTTTCATTATTCTCAATTTTTCTTCATTTTTTACTCTCTCTATGTGACTAGGAGCATTTTATTTATACGAACATTTAAAGTTAAACAAAAGGTAGGCTGAAGTGATTACTTATTAGAAACTTGTCATTGAGCCATGATTGATGTTGTAGATAATCAAATATTGTAAAATTGAACTTGTAAACTGGAAAACTGAGAGATTATATATGCTTCTTGCAAGGAGTTTTGGTCATAAATTGCAACATATAAGGATGCTTAGTAGTCTTGTACGGAAGATAATTTTTCACAACCAACACATTCATCAATACATACACTTCTCCTTCCTTGATGTAATCTTTGTACATGTCAATATGACATTCTTTGATCTGAGCATGAATACGGCATCCCTGCACAAACAAAACCTATTTAGATTAAGTTCTTAAAAAATATTATCACTTATTATTATTTTATTATTTTTAATATTATTAAAAAAGAAAACGCAAATGAAATACGACATGCGCATGAAATAACCTCCTTTTCATGAAATACGACATTCATTGTCTTTCCATGCTTCTCTGTTGCGGGCACATCATACACACAAATTGCACTCAACCTTAAAATCCAATCCGTCCGTTTATGGTTAGCATCTGTTATAGCAGAAAACATCTCTACCACCTTCGTAATGTAAAAGCAAAAATAAGGATCAATGCGCTCACAATATGTATGAAATTGTTATGTGAGAATTCCTTTGGATACACTACACATACGGATGAAAATATGCCTCCTCAACAATGAAAAGAGGATGCTTTTTTAAAATCTTTTTTTGCAACCCAAATAAAAATACTAAATGAAATAACAACCTTTGAAATATGTACAACTAAAAATAAATGATATTAAAATCGTATTAGGTTAACTATATGAGAAAGAAGGTTGTATTAAAACCAATTTTGAGGAGGCATCAAAATGACGGTCTACAAATATTTGGGTTTTTATTTAACAACTAGCATTTCACCCGTGCGATGCACGGGAATATATTAAATCTAAAATTCTTTGTTATGAATCTACTAAATTTCAATTACTTTTCTCAAATTTTAAATTGAGTACTATCTAAAAATATAAATTTATATATAAACAATGTATGATATCATTCAATAGAAAAAATGTCTGAATATGTAAATACATACGGAGTATCTTTTATTATAAATTTAAAGAACAATGCTCACAATAAAGAATTTTTTTTTGAGAATTCTTTCATTTCTATACTCAATTTTGGAGAATTCTTTCAATTCCTAATGTAATCCCTAAGAATTTTTCATGATAATTATCCAAAACTTTTTAAATAAGAATATTTGAGTAGTACTCTTTAATATTTCTTTGTCATCATAATATTTTCATGTATATGATAAATTTAACATTAAAAATAAAACTAATTTTATTGAACATTTCGGGGTAAAAATAAAACATTGGAATGTGTTCTATATTTTGAGATGAATTTAATAAATTTAGATTACAAAAATCGTAGCCTTTTAAATTGAATAATATTTAAAAGTCTAAATTTTAGGATAAATGATAACAAAGAATTCAATTTAAGGATGCATCTCATTCATATTATTTTGGGGAATGTTCATCAAAGTTTCCCCAAGCTTAATCATGAAATTCTTACATTTTTTAGTATTAGAATTCCCATTTAAGACATACGAGAAAAAAATTCAGATATAAGCATAAAATCATATGCACTCATAGTAAGAATATCACATTATTTTGATTTCAGAATAGTTTTGCTTTGGAAAAACAGTATTTACTACAAAGAAGAACTTCTATAATGATATTAAAATGGAAAATAATAACAGTTCTAAAGTGAATGAAATGAAAAACTTTTACAGGTAATAAACTCACCTTATTCTAGACTTCTCGGACAGAATCAGATCAATCTCCAAAACCTTTCCCCATAGCCAAACTCATCTCCCCCACATCTCCTTTCTGGAATTTACAAAGAAGCTCCGCAGTCGATCCAGGGACCCTCTTCCCCTAAAACTCAAACACGCACTTGGCGGCGGAGAGAGACGGCGGGGAGGCAATAGTTAGGAACGAAGGAATACTGAACAGGAAAAAAATTCAAAGAATAGTAAGTTATCATACAGGGGACCATCCAAGAACCAACATGTTGGGAAGCAAGCAAAGCAGGAATCGGCAAATAGTCCCGTGCAAAGGAAGAGAAGCCATTCAAATCATCACATCATATGTGATTTCATAATTTGAAATCATATATGAATTCGGAGTTCATTTAACTATCTTATGGTAAACTTTAGGCATATATATATATATATATATATATATATATATATATATATATATATATATATATTGTAACTACAACATGCAACCAATTCTGTCAATAAGGTATCAAACAAATCACAAAAATATAAAGAGCATATGCGATTCGATTGACCTAATAACATGTCCTTACATCTTCTTCATCATGTGGATTGGGCATTGAGTTGTGTGGTCAGAGATTGATTAACCAATTTGTTCCAGATGCGGGTTTTCTTCATAGAGGCAAAGAAATATGGAGTAGTTAAAAACTACCACAAGGTAGTAGTGTTCTGTGACACATCTTCATAGAGAAGATGTGCAAGATCTATGTATATGATAATTAATTAATATGTTAATATTCTAAATCAAATGTTTCATAATAGATATTTAGCACTTACCTCTGGTCTTAGTCCACATGTTCGGATACCCAATTCTCATTGAAAAAACATGTGCCTTCGTCAGATCAGATCTGCTCAATTCAGAACTGAAATTAGGTATTGAAAGATCTACAACTTGGTAAATAAAATAATAAAAAAACTTAAATATAGCAAGACCTCTTTATTCAACTTGAGAAAAATGAGAATTTAGAATTTGACCCAAGAGAACCTGAAATAGGAGATGGCCACCCAAGCGATCGAAACCCTAGGCTCTTACTGAGAAGAAGAGCAAGAAGATGCGATGATTTGCATGGCTTCTCTTCATTTTTCCTTTTCTCGTTTTCAGATCGGAAGTTGCAGACGTGAGTTTCGGATCAGAAGTTATCATCCGAAAAAAATGGATATTGTGATTTATTATATGGACGGCCAGATTTTGACAGTTGTAGTGAAATTAGATCGTCGAATCGTTCAATCCTGGCTCAAAAATTGGGCCGTTGATTTTTCTAAATCTCATTAAAATTGGACCATTGATTATCCTTAGTGAATAAAAAATTACTCATGCTTTTTATTTAAAAATTATCCTTAGTGAATAAAAAAATGTCGTGTTTAAAAAAACGACTGCCTAATTTATTCGAATTACAAAAAACAAAAGTAGATTAAATTTGTGGAGAAAACGACTACCTATGCTCTTAATAAGAATGGTATTCCAATAGTTTTCTTTAGAAGATCAAATTGCATTCTTCAATTAAATGAAGTTAATTTAAAATGCCGTGTGAAACTATAAACCACTGTGTTATTGCAATCAAATAAATTGATGTGAGAATTCCTTGGGGTACAATACACACGGATGAAAACTCTTTAGATGACCAAAGGTTCTCATTCAATAAATTCAATAATGCCATTACATTATTGCAATTAGAAGTGCAATAAATGAACTCGTTAGACCCAAGGAATAACATTAGCCTTGCATTTAACACTGATCGGAGATGGGCGGCCCAGATTATGCCCATTCATGGGTGGGAAAAAGAGTTTTTTTAACATAGAATTTTGTTTTTTAATTCCAAAATCTTTTGCTTTTGTATAGGAGTATAGATAATTTGTTATAATATAAAAAGGAAAATAACTAATAACGAAAAATAATTAATAAGAAAAAAATAACGAAAATGTAATAATAATAATAATGAAATAATTTTTTAATATTTTATTTTATTATTTAATAAATGCTAGAATTTAATTTGAATAGAAATAGGTATCAAAATTTGAATAGAATTTAATTTTAATATTTTATTTTATTATTTTATTATTTAATACATGCTAGAATTTTCTTTGGTGAATTGGCGGATTGCCCGAGCCCAAGCCCAAGCCCAAGCCCAAGCCTGACGTGTTCATCCAATCGTGATGAAGAGGTCATCAAAATGGGCACCTGGTATGTAATGGGGATCAGCCCGACCCACTTATCCAACCATAGTTCAATCAAATCCGGAATAAAGGAAGGGCACTGAGGATGTGACCGTTGCAACTCTGATTCTCTTTGAATATATACCGAAACATTACAATTGCGATCCCAATCACTCGATTTCTTCCCAATCAGTTTTCCAATATACGGAAATTAGAAGAAGGACGAGAAGAGCACACTCCGAATCAAGGCCTGAGGAATAATTCACTCTATTCGTGCAGTTTGTGACTCTTTCTTTCCAAGTTAGTTCTCTAACTCTCTTCATTTCGCATTTCAGTATGCTTCGGTGTTCCCGTTCCTGTTCAAGAACTTTCTTTGTGTTTAAAGGCAAATTTATGGGTTTCTTATCACATCGACGTATGATTTTGGAATCCTTTTTTCTTTATTTATTCGTTCTTAAACCAGTACAGATCGGATTTCTTCTTTTTGATGCTTCGAGAACTAATTACAGACCGGATTATTCCACTGCTGCGCTGATATTTAATTCTTTGGGTTCGATATCCAGATTGTTTGATGTTTATGATCTATGTTGGTCTGGACATTATAATTTTTAGGAAGGCTCCACTTGGAACAAGGAATCCTAATTGAATAATTGGAATTGAAATTCTTTGAAGTTGAATTGAATTCTAGTTTAGTTTCAAATCTTTTGTTTGATATAATTAAAGAATTAATATAGAAATGTATTATGATTCCAATCTTTTGTTTGGTAACACAAACATGTATATAGAATTAATTTGAAATTGTATTATGCTTCGAAATTCACATCCACTTATTTTTTGTGTTACCAAATCCACATATTTTCGGAATTCATATGGAAAATTTGGAATTAGAATTCAATTCCAAATCAACAAACATTTGTGCTACCAACAGAATTGGAATTGAAGTCTCTAATTCTATTTTCACGGCCTGAATTCCATGTAGCAAACGGAGCCTAATTGTTTTTAGTCTGAGTACCATATTTTCATGTGTACACGATTAGTTTTTGTCTGTTTACTTTATGGCACCATGCTGTGAGCTTGGTGGTGAGTTGTGATACTCAGACCCGTTTTGCTAATCTAGTTTATGTTATATTGATTTTTATAATATGCATGTTGGAAGTTTAAAGTTGATTCCATCAACAGCTCTGTCTCTGTTTTCTATGTTAACTGTACAAATTTATTCTTTTTGGTTGCTTATATGATTCACGATATAACGGAGTTATTAATTATCAGGAAATAGCAACAGCCATGGCCACCCGGGCTAGTCAACTGGTGCGAGACCAGAATGTTGCCAAACTTCACTGCAGTGGTATGTATGTATAAACCCTGCCACACAATAATAAAGCTTCTAGTCTCATTATATTATTGTTGGTAGTTGGCATATTCTTCCTAGAATTGATGATGGTTTCACATGCAGGAGCTTCTGCCGGGATGAAGAATGATAGTGATAATGTGTCCATGGGTCAAAAGAAAGGAGGAAAGCATGGTGCCAGAAGAGCACTCAATGATATATCAAACTCCACAAAGCCTTGTGCACTCCTGCAGGCATCAAAGAAAGCAAACCCTTCAACGGTTCTTGTAGAGAAGAATGCGGGCGTTTCGAAAACGAAGAAGAGAGTTGGTGGAAGGAGAGCACTTGGAGATCTGACAAACTCCAGCAAGCAATATGCGCAGCAGGTGCCGCCTAAGAAAGGTTATAATGAAGAAGAAGAATTGTTTTGTGTGGGTGAGGAGGGATTTATGCACAATCACGACAAGTGTATCAAAGAGCAGATGATGGCTATGGACATGGGCTGTTTTCTCAAGGAAGCTGGACTTGCCAATGGTAACTATTAAGTAAACTAATTACTGCTGGACAAGTTTATTGATTATTGCTATAGAAAACTGATGAGTTGTTATGCTAATGATGAATGTACTTGTTGTTGTTGACATTATTATGACAGATTCATCAAATCAATTTGTAATCACTCCACATGCTTATCCACCCTCACTGAGGAGGTCAAAGGTTAGGGTTTTGCGAATTAATTGGGTTGATTCTTGATATGTTTTCTTTCTTCACCTCATCAAATGCTTTTATTCACGTTGCCAATCATGATTTCTCTGCGTAAAAATTCTAAGTGTTACTGCTGCTTGCTTGATACAGCTGAAGAGTGCAGTAAAGGACTTGGAAATGGAAGAGCTGCCCGAGTTGCCGATTCCTTTAAACTACTCACCTGTTCTCCAAAGGTCACCCATGTCCCCAAAAGCACAGTGTGTGAACTGGAAGGATGAAAGCTTTCCAGCTTTCTCATTGATAGAAACTCCCATGCTACCAAATACTGTTGATGCCTCATAACCCACAAAATATGAATATGACTATATGAGCGCCCAATTTATCAGTATCTTTAGTTGATAGGATTGTGATCAAGGACGGCATCTATCAAAATGTTGAAATCATGATCAAGATTAGCTAGTGTGTTTGCTTTTGTTTTCAACTCTGGGTTGTGGTGCTATGAACATACGCAAGCACGTTTTACATTTGCCATGTATTCTATGCATTCCTTCGACACTTTTTCTTTGTTACTCCCCTTATTGTTGTCCAATTATTTTTCCATTAAAAAGCTCTATATTTGTTTAGAATCTTATACGGAGAAGTTTGATTACAGTGCAGCATACCGTTGGCTTCTGGCAGAAAATCTGTTGAAGAAGACGGAGCCTCGGTTGCTCAACTAATGTGAATTAGTGGCTATTTTCTTTTAAACTGATTTTTTTATTTACTGACGTCAAATACAAAGCTGAAAATGACAAAGAATACGTTCTTCATTAATCAATAGAAACATTAACAAGGATATGTTGCATCACAAAGTGTACCAAAATGAACAAATTTGACAAACTTGCTTTAGTATTTGTCCAAATTTGATTTTTGTATTCAAAATTGACAAATTTTGAACACTAATTAAATTAATGTGATATTAGATATTGATACACATATAGTTTTGATATCATGTTGTATGGTTTAGCTATTGTGGTTTGGGTAGGCACTTGATAACATGTGGTGGCAACTGATTAGTGTAGTTTTGTATTGACTCGTCTTAGTTAATTACTCCGTATTTTTTACTCCAGTTATAGGCAAGGATGTTAGCATTGAATGCCTCCTACTTTCTAAAAGCAAAAGGGCACTTTGTCATTTCTATTAGGTAGTGTTTAGATACGGGAATTCATTTTAATTTTTGAATTTTAATTCTATAATTTGAAATCTCATAATTCAAATATCATTCTGGTGTTTGACAAGCACAAGAAATTAAAAACTCATAATTTCAAATCCAGATATTGTTTGGGAAATTCATAATTTCAATTCCAAAATTAAAATTCTAATGTTGTTTGGCAAGTACTAGAATTTCATTTCAAATGATTAATAAATATATAATATTGTAAACATAATATTATTTCATAATAATCAATAGTTTCATAAACAAAATATATACTAATGTATGACAATGAGAAGAAGTAATAATTTGAAGTAAATATTTAATATTTCGCAGTAGTTCATAACTCGATCGCTCTTCCAAGCACAGCAAAATCCAATCTAGCTTCAACACTTGATGACGAAATATGTCATCCACTTTTTAAACATCATGAATTTCTTTCCCGCTCGCATTTGAAGTCATATTGATCTTGCTTTGAACATATTCGTTGAATGAGTTTACGATACTTGTAACTGCCGCCGCCAAACAATCTTTCTTCACCTTCTTAGACACAGATGCTGTTCATGTGCTCATTCCTTCACTCGTCATCTCCTCATCCATAGTCATCGCTGCTTCATCGTATTTCTCCGCACCATCCCCTAATGCTCTATTCGATTCAAACATAAGACAAATATCATCCCAATTATCTATAGTCTTATTTTTATAAGAACTTGATGGTGGATGACTCTACATGCAAAAAAGAGTGTTACGCAACCCTCTTTTGGGCCACATAGACAAGGGATTGTGGTCTTATAAATGAATTAATACGAAAAAAAAGTGATAATGACGGATATAAAACTACTATATACTCCGTATGATATAGTGCTTCAAACAACTAATATGCTCCACAAAACACATAGATAATACCAAACTAAAACCACAATAAAAAATTCAAGCAATAGGATAAGGTCCATATTGGCATTACTTTGGGATATCACTGTTCATTTGATCAGAAACAACAAAAGTGTGCCATTTTTCAAATGTATAAACTATACAATGCTTGCACAAATTAAGAAACTCCATAAGACCATAAGCAAAGCAATTGATACCAATTTCCAAATGTAATACTCTATCAAATTTTAGACACAAAACGTTGCAACTGTTCAAACAAATAAAGAAAGAAAGTATAGAGCTACCTGCTAGAAGATGCAAACATATTTAAAAGGATCACATCGTTGCAAGAATCATGTGGATTAATACGAAAAAATTCTCAACTGCAACCTTTCCCAATTCAGATATTCCATGCACTCTGCATGCCCCTAAAAGCCCCCCCCCCCCCGCCCCCAAACAGAAACTGTGGGCTGCATAAGCAAATGAGTGCAAACAAATACGCAAATACCCATAGCCCATAGTCCGAAGACTTGGCAGGCCCTACTTGGCATTCACACTCATAGTATTTGTTTAAATATACAAATACTTATAATAGTAGCAATTTCAGGTAATCTTGTAAGTTGTAACTATATGCTCACACTCAACAAACTACCCAATAAAAGCTTAAACACACAAAGGATATAAATAACACCAAATTTGTCAAGTAGCAATAATAATATTACCTTGCAATATTCGTTCCAATCTTTCAAGTCGTCTCTATCGATTACCCAATTAGCACAATATTTACACTTCAATCATGTATAGGTTTTGGAAAATAGCACATTTTCTAGGGGCAGTTTTGCTTATTCTTCTCTTCTTCAAGCAGACATAAAATCTCTTCTCCAAACCCTTCTTGAACCCACACTTCTTGACCACTCTTCTCCTGTTAGAATATAAATAATTGTTCCTAGGCCACAACCACAAGCTTGAGCTTTTGGTTGAGTTGGTTCCTTGTCATGGTATCAGAGCCAGTTTTAGCCCACCTCGTTTGTTAAGGTGTCCGCCTGGACGTTCATTCCTAGCGGCCCGTTAGTCTTTAGCCCAGTTGTCCGTATGGAGGTTGTACCCAACGGCATGTGGCCTGTTTAACACGATTGCTCGTGTGGAAGTCCATACCCAGCGGCTCGTGGTCCTTTAGGTGTTGGCGCTCAAAAAAAAAGTCAAGGGAATGAGAGTTCATTTGCAAGTGGTCAATCGGTTAGATTCAAAATGGCCCGGTTGTCCACTTGAGGGGGAGTGTTAGAGTACATCCCACATCGGAAATCCAAGAGTAAAATAATCGGTATATAAGCTCTAGAGTTGAACTAACTAATCGATTGGATTCAATCTTTTAATACGATTCAACTCAAGTATCTTATTGCCCAATCCAGTTATCTCTACCCAATCCTAAATTCTATCAAATACCTTAAAATTTTTGAAGATTTTTAGAAATCTAGATTGAATACCCTCAGATTTTGAAAGTCCAAAAAAATCCTGCAAACTCTCAATTGAATACACCCCTAATACTAGTGATACTACCATAATTACAAAGACTACTATTATTGTCTAAGAGATACAGAGTAGAATAGAAGATATATAGAGACAATAAAAAGTAGATCAAATAAATGAAAGTATAACTTTTTTGTTAGTTGTATTTTAACTATTGGTGATATTATCTGTTATCTCAATTTGTTTTTTTACACTTTTTGGATTATTTTTCTTTTTCCAGATGTAGTTCTCTCTTGATTTTTCCATATTATTATAAAGTTTGTTGGGAAACGAGGCTTGGATGACGCAGCGGAAAACAAAAATTTAGAGTCCAAAACTTGATTCCACCCAAGAATAACTTACGTAAATTACTAGCTATAGTAAAAAAGTTACCTTAGCGGTGAAAAACAGAGAACAGAGGAACGGTCGGTGACGGTTTTCAGGAGATGAACATAGCGCCAAACGTATGAAGCCTCCAACGTATCTACACGAACTTGCTCCAGAGTCCTAGATCAAACTTGTGCTAGCAAGTTTAATATAGCATAGTAAAACTATAATATTACTACTTTAGGGAGTAATAAATATAGAGTAAGAAATATGTATCTTATAAATATTTCTTTATAATATTTTGTGTATATTTCTAACACTTTAGAAAATGACTTTGAACACAAAATAATATTTTCTTCTCTCTTCCTTCAGGTTGCCGAAAATTTCTCTCTTGAAAATGGGGAGTGATTCTTTTATTTATAAAACATTACTTAAAAGAATTTCTAGGAAATTACTTAGGGACAAAACAAAATAGGATTAACGTAATGTCCCCAACCAACAGAACAAAACAAATTAAATATCCTTTACTAATCAAATATTTGATTATATCAATCAAATATATTATTAGGTGGAATATAAAAAAGTGTTTTGTATTTTTCTCTGTAAAAAATCGGCACTCACAAATAAAATTGCACATCATATTTTATTTTGACATTGCATCAATAATTATAATATAAGTAAAATGATGAAAATAAAATTACACACACACACACACACACACATATATATATGTACATACATACATACATACATACATACATACATATATATATATATATATATATATATATATATATATAAATTATCACAACTACATATTTAATATTACTCCCATTAATGTAGTATATTACACCCTTACAAGTCCTAAGTGTGTGACCCCTTAGGTATCCATAACAGTGGAAATGATATTAACATAAGTTAATATCATAGATAATAAGCAGTTCATCTTTCTCATCAATACCTTCTACCACACAAGACATTTTATAACCATTATCCTTCTGTCCTAAATGTCACGATCCAACACAAGGCATGTGATGTGTATCCTTGTATAATTTAATCACCTGTTACTGAATCTCAAGTGGACTGGTAGGGATTAGATATTTATCAGTCTTTGGATATTGACATATCTGGTCATGATCATGCACTTTCCCAAGTCCTACTATTCAGTCGGCCCATTGACATTATACTTCTATACAGTAGAAGGGAGAGATCCTATATCTGTTACTCACATCTCTAATTATGTTTAGCGGCATACCCAACACATAATTGTACGCCTAACAGTATTTCAGATAGCATTAGTTCTGAATCAAAGCATACGGCCCCAAATACCAGCAAATGTAATAACTTCAAGTCTAAGGATAGTTATAGTAGCAAGGTCGAATTGAGAATACTGATAAACACATTACTGTGGATCCATGCAGTATTCTCAAGGTGGGTCAATCCAGTCACATATCATCGATATAGTATGCACCTACGTACAGATTAAGATATCACAAAACTTATAGTCTATGAGACGCAACTATCTCATCTCGTACATACTAGTCTTGATACCTTATGACGTCTGTATTATCATAAAGTGCGACTAGGGATATTCTAGACATAGCCTTCGTCAAGAAGTAGCAGTCTCATAATCAGAACATCGTAGTCCTCATCTATGTTACTGAAGCGCTATCGTCTATGGACTGAAGCTATGTTATGTTACACGAGATATAAAACATACTTCAAGGTCTTTCATTCATGATAAAGTGTACAGTTACATACGTATTTGATTGCCGCTAGGGCACCTAAATACAACAAAGTTACCATAGTTTAAGTGATTGCAATTAATTTTTAGTGTACAAAAAAATAATTATAATATAAAGTTAGCATAATTTAGTGACTGCTATTAATTTTTAGTGTATAGAGTTGTGTTGAAGTATATGTTGAATCTTAAATCCTCCTATTTACAACAGCAGCATGAAAAATTTCCCACCCAGTTGTGCCATGATCAATACCACGTAGGTTCGGGTAAAATATTGTGGTGTTATAAACCGCAGTCCCAAGTCTCAACCACCACTAAAGCACATCCTACGGGAAAGAACTTATTAATCATATGCGGTGCTTCAACGTATGTGGAGTTCTCAATAGATCGGAATGTAACAGAGGAGACTGAGAAAAGGAACATCGCATCTTGATAGAGAAGGAGAAGGTGGAGGCTTTCATTGCAGGAGTACTATTCATCGTCTTCCTCGACTTTGACCTAGCGGGTACACCTGAATTTCATCAATTTCTTCATATATATATATACATATATATATATATACATATATATATATATATATATATATATATATATATACACATATATATATATATATATATATATATATATATATATATATATATATATATATATATATATATATATATACAAAAAATGGTTCTAGAGAGAGGAGAGAGCTTTCCGGCGAGGCAGCCCCCTCTGTCCAGTTCTCCGGCGATAGAAAGGAAAAAATTATTCTCTGAGCTATTCAATGAAATCCCCCAAATTGGAAAAGTGATGGGGCTCAGGAAAGGTAACCCATCCGTAGTATTCTCGACGGAAGAAGAGCAGCTTCTGGTGGACAGACTTGGTTTTGCAGTTGTTGGCAGATCGGACACCCTTCCACCACTGAAAGACCTTCCAAGAATTCTACACTCCATTGGCTTCAGAAATTTCACCATCAGGCCTCTATCTAGGTTTGATACGCTATTCTCCTTTAAACATGAACATGATTACCAACGTTTCATGCTACGGAGATCATGGAGATTTGGCAGATCCAATTTCTATGTCTTTAAATGGTCTCCAGACTACTCCAAACACACAGACTGCCCTATTATTCTTGTTTGGGTCACCATCCACAATACCCCTCTACACCTTTTTCACCCTCCAGCCCTCTTCACCCTTGCCTCTTGCCTTGGAAGACCCATTAAACCTGATGATAGTACCATATCAGGAAAAAACACAAGCCATGCCAGAGTCTGCATTGAAGTTGATTTCTCCCAACCCTTACCTCCGGCAATACCCCAAAGACCTATCTCTCCCTCTTTCCTTTGAAAAAACCCCCTCCTTCTGCCAGAGATGCAAACTCCTTGGCCACTCAGAATCTGCGTGTAAGAAAAACCAGGTTGTTACCGGAATCCACATCGGTGACACGAAAACGGTGGCCACGGACGGGGAAGGGTGGAATATTATGAAGCGCAAACAACCATCAAAGAAACCCCAACAGCTCCCAGTCCCCATGCATACCTGGAAAAAAAAGAACGCCCCCACACTAAAACACACTCCTGGATTAGTCCAAGATAATATGTCCAAAACCACAGCTCAAATTATCTCCTCAAACCCCACCTCCTCTCTATCCCCTGCTGTACCTATATCCTCCACTCCAAATGTTTCGCCACTCAACACTGTAACCCACACCTCCCAACAACCTATCAACCCAACCCCTAACCTTTTGGCTGATCTCATTAACCTCATTAACCTGGACCCCACTCCTATTCTACCCTCTTCCAGTTTGGATGACAACACATCAAGGGAAACACTCTCACAGGACCCAACCTCTACTATTCTCACTTCTCTTGGACTCCCCTTGCATGACAGCCTAGACAGTGACGAAGAAGAGGTGGATATTCACTGCCACTCCGATGGTGATGATGAACCATTTGTTAAAGGTAAACTTGAGCCTCTCACCCTCAAATCCCCTCCTCCCACCTCTCATGTTACTCTCACCCCAGGAGAACTCGGAAAAAAAGAATTTTCCCACCCAGTGGTATTCAAACCCGGAGCCAATGTCGGGCTAAAGGAGCTCCCCCCCTCCATTCCTTAATGTTTCTGCTCTTTTGGAATACTTGTGGGATTGCTTCCTCTATCTCGAGGTTACAGTCCCTAACCAAAGCTTTCTCCCCTCCCTTCATTGCTATTTTTGAGCCCATTGTTAATAAATCAAAAATTTCGTCCTACCTCCTCAAACTTGGCTTCAACTGCTCTCAAGCCTCCCCCTCCAACAAAATCTGGATTTTCTGGAATTCCCTTACCCTCACCCTCACCCACTGCATGATAGAAGATCAAGTCATTACTTGCAGATTCATCCACACTATATATTCTAAAATCATCAATATCTCCTCCATTTATGGAAAGCATGACCTCATCCAGAGAAGAGAACTCTGGAACATTCTCTCTTCACATAGACCGGCAGATGAAATGTGGATAGTTGGTGGCGATTTC